ACTAAGCCACAAAAACGTTGTTGTATGGAGGCGTGTACCAAAAGTCCTTGCCGGGCTAACAGTGCCAAGGAATGTAGCGTTCGGGGCTAAAAATAGGGGTAAAGTCAGTAAATAGGCATCGTCAATTCGTATTTTGTAGAGTAGAAGATAATACAGATATTAAATATGCCTTCCTACTCTCTTGCAACGCGAGCTCAAGCTATAGGACTCCGAGCTTATGGAGCTACATATCAGCAAATTAAAGAGAATACAAAAATTTCCGAGCGGCAAGTGCGATACTACATGGCTGAAGCACGCCGCCGTGGATATAATCCAGATATCGACAAGCAATTACTCGATATCTTATTGATGCCCCTCGAACAGGACGCCCTCAGAAACTAAGTGCAAATGGCGAAGAGACTCTTATAAAGAGTATAAAAATGGACCGGAACTCTCGAGAGAAGACAGCAGCAACAATTGGTTATGAAAATGGTGTGTCTACAATGACTGCTTTTCGAATACTACAACGGCATAAACTGATAAAACGAAAGCCAACATTGAAACCAGGATTAACTAAAGCGATGAGAGAAGCACGACTACAATTCGCTCTACGATATGCACATTGGACTCTTACGGATTGGAAAAACGTTATATGGACAGACGAAACATCTATTGTCCTTGGCCATCGACGTGGAGGATTTAAAGTATGGAGGACAAAAGATGAGAGATTTGAGCCATCTGTTATTCGCTCTCAATGGCATGGAGCATCGGAATTCATGTGGTGGAGCTGTTTTACATATGATAAAAAGGGGCCATATCACATTTGGAAAAAGGAGACAGCAAAGGAGAAGAGAGAAGCAGCAATTGAAATTGAAGCATTTAATAATACAATTGAAGCACAATGCAAAGAGGAATGGGAACTTGAAAAGGAGGAATTGATGCATGGTGATACCGAAAAGTCATCCTTGAGCCTTTACTTCTACCGTTTGCACAAGAGTGTAAGAAGGAAAGGCCAAATGCTATTGTACAAGAAGATAAAGCACCATCTCATGCGTCAAAGTGGCAAAAGGCTGTCTTTGATAGGTTTGATATTCAATGGCTATTATGGCCAGGTAATTCGCCTGACCTTAATATGATTGAGCCTTGTTGGCCATTTATGAAGCAGGTTACTACTCGTAAAGGGCCTCCTACAACTCGGAAGACTGCGGAAATCGTGTGGAAAAAGGCATGGGAGGAGCTTGAACAACGGAGAATACAGGGAGAATACAGGCGTGGATTGAGAGGATTCCACACCATATTCAAGAGGTTATTAGAGTCGAAGGAGGAAATGGATATAAGGAAGGGGTACAACACTTCGACCGGGACAAAACAGCGTATGTGGAAGCAGACGCCTCAGACTATATATCCTAGGGAGTTCTATCACAGAAGGACGGCCAAGGAGTACTACACCCCATTGCCTTCTTATCAAAGAAAATGACACCTGCTGAGTGCAATTACGAGATCTATGACAAGGAGCTACTGGCCATCATTAGATGCTTCGAAGCATGGAGACCAGAAGTTGAGGGCACAGCAATGCCAGTAAAAGTTTTGTCAGACCACAAGAGTCTTGAATATTTCATGAGCACAAAAAAACTTACTAGGCGGCAAGCTCGATGGGCAGAATTCCTCTCTCGATACAATTTCCAAATCATATATCGACCTGGCAAGCAGAACAGAAAAGCAGATGCGTTAACTCGAAGACCAGGAGATAGACCAGAAGGGAATGAAGAAGATGACTGTCAAAAACAACAGCTTCAAACCCTATTACCCCTTGAGAGACTGCATCCGGATCTCGCACAGCAGCTAGAACTCAAAAGTCAAGGGCAGGCACAAGATGCTCAACTTGCACCAATCCTACCACAAGATCAAAGCATCCATGACCAGATTCAAGCTGCGCAGCTCCAGGATGAATTATGCAAGGATACAATCCGAAGACTACAGAACAATGAGCGAGATAGCCCAAATATAGCCTTAGCACATTGCGATGAGAGAAATGGACTCCTACTCTACCAAAATCGAGTTTGGATCCCAGAAGACGTCCGAGTTAAACTCCTTCATGAGGTTCATGACCAGCCAGCAATGGGACACCCTGGAATTGGGAAGCTGATTCGAATCATTAAGAGACAGTACTACTGGCCCCGGATGGACAAGACTATCACTAAATATGTGAGGAATTGCCATACCTGCAAGAGATCAAAACCAACCCAGGACGCATACAATGGACTCCTACAACCAATCCCAATTGGAAGCCAACCATGGAAGGACATATCACTCGATTTTATTACAGGATTACCATTATGTGGAGGAAACAATTCTATCCTTGTAGTAGCATTCCGACTTACAAAAGAGCGCCGTTTTATCCCATGCTTTGCAGGTAAAGAAGGCACTACAGCAGAAGCTACAGCGAGGTTACTACTCCAGCATGTATGGAAACACCATGGTTTACCAAATTCCATCATCTCAGACAGAGGGCCCCAGTTTGTAGCTGTAGTGTGGAAAATCCTCTGAAAAGTTTGGAAAGTTACAATCAAATTGTCTACAGCCTTCCACCCAGAAACGGACGGGCAAACTGAGAGGTTTAATGCAGAACTCGAGCGATATTTACAGGCTCATGTCAACTATCTCCAAGACAACTGGGTTGAATATCTTTGCATAGCTGAATTCACAGCAAATGTCCTTCCATCAGACTCAACAAAAGTTAGCCCATTTTTTGCAAACAAGGGTTTCGAGCCAAGAATGAGCTTTGATATAGAGGATAGCACGTTCCAAACTGCCCTTCAAGAACATAAGGACATAGCTCAAAACATGAAAGATATTTGGGAATTCCTACAAGACCAGATCGCCCTCTCACAAACCCGAATGGAGCACTTTGCAAATCAAAACAGGAAGCCAGCACCAAGATATAAGATAGGAGACCGAGTCTGGCTTTCTACTCAGAATATCAAAACCCAACGACCCTCAAAGAAACTTGACCATAAGCAAGTTGGTCCATTTCAAATCCTTGAGCGAATTGGGAATATTGCATACCGACTCCAGCTACCACCAAGCATGAAGATACACCCTATGTTTCATACTGAAAACCAGTCCTCTACTGCTGAAATATCATGAGTTGTAACTCGAAATCGAGCAATCACTTTCGTTTTAACGACTCGAAAAAGGTTAGAATGGCTTTTTATAAAGCCCTGAAACCAGCGCCATGAAGGCGCTGGTTTCAGTGGTATTTCTACCGCCTACAAATGGCTAATTGCTGCAAAAACCATTGCTCTTGATGCCCCTTAACCCGCATGATACGAATCTTCGACATATTTGTATATTGCCTTAATTTGTACCTCCGAGAGTATCTTATTTTGTCCTCCGCGTTTAGAAATAGGAGGCGATATTGGGGCTTCAGCGGCTTTCAACTTTGCTCGTCAAGTATAGGAATTAAGCGTCTTCGTATTAACATTATAAATTTGAGCGGCGGTGATTGGCTTTTCGGAAGGGTTCTTGCGGAGGAATTTGAGGGCTTGGTTGTCATACTGACATTCGTTGCACTCAGTTTGCTATCAAACTCAAGAGCAAACTTGGAAATCTCCTCCTCAAACCTACAAGTCACTATACATATTTTGGCTTATCACACCAACAACAAGAGCAATACTACTCAACGATTGCTACAACCATCTATGATTCATTACACGTCATCTCTCCTTAGTTACTGGGCCGATATTACCACATAGCATATCTCTACAACCCTCTATGATTCATTACATGACATCACTCATACTACCACATGACATATCTCTACCAACTAGAGGCCTAGGAGCATGAACGATAGCTCTAAAAGCTCCTATGAACCTCTATGATTCATTACATGTCATCGCTCTTTAGTTACCCACAAGATTGGTTAAGTTATGACATAATTTGTCTATGACATAATTTGTCTATGACATAATTTGTCTATGACATAATTTGTCTATGACATAATTTGTCTATGACATAATTTGTCTATAGGGGTACTCTGACCTTGGACCTCCTTTTACTTCCTATAGGCTACGAACCTAAGAGATGGTTCTATGGGATTCTCTTACGTCGACTACAGTTACCAAGCCTGGTAAGTCATGGAAAGTCTTGGAAAATGAGAGAACTACACTCCTTTAGCATAAATAGGATTGCCCTTTCCTTAAGAAAGGGCAAGCAGACAATACAGTAAATCGACTATCACATACTTCCACGTCTTTTCCAAGCTTCCAAGCATTCATCTTGTTACTCCTTGTTTCTGAAATGTCAGTGAGGTGTTAACCTCTGACTTACCCCTGAGTTCCCAGACTCAACATTTGTTGCAACTTGTCTGAACCACTTCACTACATCACACACCTGATTGCTGCGTTGTGGAATAGTCTAAGCTACGACCCTTTGGCTCTTTTTCCTAAGACAGTGTGTTGTCTTAGTAAATTCATCCCTTCCTTGGGTGGCTAGATTCTCACATCTGGTGCACCCACCACTACACCGGTCCATTATACAGAGCAAAATTATCGCAGGTGCATAGTTGAGAGTGGGAAACGTATATATTTGGGTGTATATTCATGATTATTATGATTAGTTGTGCTAACCCCGAAGGGAGTTAGCTTACTAAGCACAGTTGACAGGGTGGGTTGGGAAATATAATCAGCGAAGATGATTTTTTTATTTGTTTTGTTCCGTTTTTGCCCTTTGCGAAATATATTCTAATAAATGCATTGTCTCTTTCTTCCTGTCACATACAAATTAAAGAGTCGAGTATATATCCCGTGCTTTTTCTTTTGGTACAAGTCAGAAGTATTTGGTACTCACCTGACGAAGCCTCTGTCAGTGTCGCCTCCCCATACAATCCCTCTACTCAACCGCCATTCAACCCCATTCAACCCCATTCAACCCCATTCAACCCCATTCAACCCCACCACAACAGAACTCAGAACAACACACAATTCCCTGATTCCAACGATAATTGTAAACGAAGCACAGAAATGTCTACAGCTGCTCGCCGCCGTTTAATGCGCGACTTCAAGGTAAGCAGGCCCCCTCGGTAAGGTTCGTCGTGTGAGCACGGACTAACTCGCCTCCCCCGCCCCCCAGCGTATGCAAACGGACCCCCCAGCTGGTGTATCTGCATCGCCTGTCGCCGACAATGTTATGCAATGGTATGTCTCCCCTCAAGAGGATCTGGTGGAATACATGGAACGGGGCACTGATGTGGAATAGGAACGCCGTCATTATAGGCCCGGCTGACACGCCATTCGAGGACGGTACCTTCAGACTCGTCATGCAGTTCGAGGAGCAATACCCAAACAAACCCCCGCTGGTCAAGTTCATTAGCCAGATGTTCCATCCGAACGTATATGCGACGGGGGAGCTGTGTCTGGACATCCTGCAGAACAGATGGAGTCCTACATACGATGTTGCCGCTGTGCTTACCAGCATTCAAAGGTAGGTAACCCCGAACATTATAAAGGAGACAACATGCTTACACAAACCCCAGTCTACTCAACGACCCGAATACCGGCTCGCCCGCAAATGTCGAGGCGTCGAACCTCTACAAAGACAACAGGAGGGAATACACCAAGCGCGTGCGGGAGACGGTTGAGAAGAGCTGGGAGGATTAACGAACCATGGACTGGTGTATGAATGGCATTCGGCGGTGGCGTACAACGGAAAGCTGCATTTCGAGACATGATCTCCGGTTATGGCGCACGTTTGGGAATAAAGACATACCTTTGCGAGCGGTTCCTTTTTCTAGAGTTATTTCACAATAACATGGTCTGATCGTTTAGTTTTGGGGTTTCGTGGCGATAATGCACATTTGATGATATTGCAGTGTCCCTTTTTCAGGTGTCTCTGGGAGCGTTGACTTCATTCGAATGTGATTTGGACTTGGTCCAGTGAATATATATGCCGATATAATGGGTCCGGAACTTTCGGTAGAGGGGCTTGTAGCCATAGACTAAAGATCTCGTGCCTTACCCTAGGGGTGAAGGATAAACTATTCAATATCAGTATAGATGACCAGCCTCAAATAATGGCCCGCCATATGGATCTTCGGCGTCTTACCATTCGCGTGTATTATGTGCAATATCAGCCATTAGGATCGTCTCAGACCGAAGACCCGTATGTGACTTCAATCTGCTTAGAACCCCGCGTGGGCCAACAAGGTAATTTATACATCTTAAGACAATCAAAGAAGCCCTAGCATTTCAAGATTCTTCAAGATTCTTCTGCATGTTTTGCTGTAATCTTGTTTTAAGACAGGTTTACATTCCTCTCTCCGCTTCCCAACACCATAATATAATGCCAAGACACGTGCCCCATTGGGCCCAGAGTGACACGAAAGCGAATTCGGTGCCACGACCATCTCTATATACCCCAAACAAACACGTCTCGCATTAAATAATCGGCATTGCTACTGCATAGCGCACATTAAGTTACACTGCAATTCCTCACGAATCACAACTTTCCATTCCAGAATCCCCTATGGAAGTCTAGTCTGCATGGCTGCATGAAGGCCACTCTCGCTTCCTGATAGCTCCGCCCCCAGGGTCGCGACAAAGTTGCTCTCTCTGCAAGTCAACATCCACCTCCTTATCGTCATCGCCGCCAACGCAACCGCGCAACGTGGCTCCCAGGGCGACCTTGTACATATGAGCCGTTCGCGTAGCATCTAGCAGTCATGGCGTGAGTGATAAATTCTCTGGGGATTTCGCGCGCGCGGGCGGCGGGCGGCGGTGTGCTGACGGGTGTGTTGAAACAGGTCAACGAATAGTATCAAGGTCGTTCTGCGGTTTCGGCCGCAGAACCGGAGGGAGATTGAGTCGGGGGGTGAGCCCATCGTCACTTTCGACTCGGATGATACGTGTAAGCTGGATGTAAGTTACTTCATTCTCCAAAATGTGTTTGGTTTTGGATAGCGGCGGTGTTGATATGGCGGATTAGTCGCAAGAAGCTACCGGCTCGTTCACCTTCGATCGTGTCTTTGATATGGCCTCGAAGCAGTCCGATATCTTCGACTTCTCTATCAGGCCCACGGTAGACGATATTCTTAACGGGTACAATGGAACGGTTTTTGCTTATGGCCAGACTGGCGCGGGAAAGTCTTATACCATGATGGGTACCGACATGGAGGATGAGCAGGGGCGAGGTGTGATTCCACGTATTGTCGAACAGATTTTCGCAAGTATCGTGGCCAGCCCAAGCAATATCGAATATACAGTACGGGTGAGCTACATGGAAATTTACATGGAGAGGATCCGAGATTTGTTGGTTCCGCAGAATGATAATCTGCCCATCCACGAAGAGAAGAACAGGGGGGTTTACGTCAAGGGGTTGTTGGAGATCTACGTCTCCAGTGTACAAGAGGTCTACGAAGTCATGAGAAAAGGTGGGAATTCCCGAGCGGTGGCAGCGACAAATATGAACCAGGAATCCTCACGATCGCATTCCATATTTGTCATTACGATTACGCAGAAGAACGTCGAAACCGGCTCTGCTAAGAGCGGTCAGCTCTTCTTGGTCGATTTGGCTGGTAGTGAAAAGGTCGGCAAGACAGGTGCCAGCGGCCAGACGCTAGAGGAAGCCAAGAAGATTAACAAGAGTTTGAGTGCCCTTGGAATGGTTATCAATTCGTTGACGGACGGCAAATCGTCGCATATTCCATACCGTGACTCGAAGCTCACAAGAATTCTTCAGGAATCATTGGGAGGTAATAGTAGGACGACCCTCATCATCAATGCCTCACCCAGCAGTTACAATGACGCCGAAACCCTTAGCACGATGCGATTCGGAATGCGAGCAAAGGCCATCAAGAACAAGGCGAAGATCAATGCAGAGCTCAGCCCCGGCGAACTCAAGATGCTCCTCAAGAAAGCTCAAGCTCAAGTCACGACGTTCGAGAGCTACGTCCAGAATTTGGAGGGCGAAGTCCAGCAATGGCGCAGTGGCGAAAGCGTACCTAAGGAGAAATGGGCGCCGGCTATATCTGCTGGTGCCGTTCAAGGGGCAAAGGTAGATGCTCGTGGTCCACCTCGACCGTCAACACCATCGCGGCTGCAGCCAGAAAGTCGATCAGACAGCCGAGCAGATACGCCCGCCACAGACCGTTCTAGTACCCCCTCCATCCCCATCGAGAAAGATGAAAGGGATGAATTCTTACGGCGAGAGAACGAGCTGCAAGACCAGCTTGCCGAGAAGGAGTCGCAAATAGCGGCTGCCGAGAAGAGCCTCAAAGACGCCAAAGAGGAGCTCTCGTACATTAAAGAGCACTCTGGAAAGACGGGTAGAGATAATGAGAAGCTGACTGGTGAGGTGAATGACTTCAGAATGCAGTTAGAACGATTAAATTTCGAGAATAAGGAGGCTCAAATCACCATGGACAGCTTCAAGGAGGCCAACCTAGAGCTCACCACGGAACTAGACGAGGTTAAACAGCAATTATTAGACGTCAGGATCAGTGCTCGCGAGACAAGCGCCGTTATCGATGAGAAGGAGAAGAAGAAAGCCGAGAAGATGGCCACGATGATGGCCGGTTTCGACCTCGGCGGCGAAGTCTTCAGCGACAACGAGAGGACGATTCAGAAAGCTATCGAGCAAATCGATGCTCTTCATGAGCAGAGCTCGCTCGGTGAGGCCATTCCACCTGATGCTATTGCAGAAATCAAAACCAGACTTGTTGAGACACAGGGCATCGTGCGCCAAGCAGAACTTTCGATGTATGCTGCGCCCACTAACGAGACCGGCTCAAGAAGGCGCGAAGAGTTAGAGGCACGCCTCGAGGCCATGGAGAGAGACTACGAAGAACTGCTAGAACGTAACTTGACCGAAGCCGATTCGGAAGAAATCAAGGGTAGACTCGAGAAGGCTTACGCCGACAAGAAGGACGCACAGCAGGATATGGTAGACGGCATCAAGCAGGACATCGTCGATAAGATGGCGGAGAACACAAGGCTAAAGGCATTGGCTGAAGATCTGCAACAGAAGCTCAAATCTGGCGCCGCAGCGAATGGCACACAGGCCCCTGGGACGCCGAATGGCAAGAGTGTACAGCAGCAGATCGCCGAGTTCGACGTCATGAAGAAGAGCCTCATGCGCGATCTCCAGAACCGATGCGAGCGCGTCGTCGAGCTGGAGATCTCCCTCGACGAGACCCGCGAGCAATACAACAACGTGCTGCGGTCCTCGAACAACCGCGCGCAGCAGAAGAAGATGGCCTTCCTCGAGCGCAACCTCGAGCAACTCACGCACGTGCAGCGCCAGCTGGTCGAGCAGAACAGCAGCCTGAAGAAGGAAGTCGCCATCGCGGAGCGCAAGCTGATCGCGCGCAACGAGCGCATCCAGAGCCTGGAGAGCCTGCTGCAGGACTCGCAGGAGAAGCTGACGGCGGCGAACCACCGGTATACACTCCTCTTTGTGCAGCGGCGACGGACGTCCCGGCTAATTGACCCGCGTAGATTCGAAGCACAGCTCACGGCCGTTAAGGAGCGGCTCGAAGCGGCGAAGACCGGCAGCACGCGCGGCCTGGGCGGCGCCGCCGCCGCGCAGGGCGGGTTTAGCTTCTCCGGAGCGGGCGGCCGAGTTGCGAAGCCGTTGAGGGGGGGTGGGGGGGAGACGACCATCCCGGCGGTGCAGGGCTTGCAGAATGAGAGCGCGGGAGGGGGGAATAAACGCACGTCATGGTTCTTCTCGGGGCAGAAGTAGGAAAGGGGGGGGGAATGGGGGCTGGTAAATAGCATGCATAGATGAGATGACCTGATGTATACCCACGCGTTTTTTTTTTGTTTTCGCTAGGAAGAGACGGATTTTGGGAAAGGGGATGGATTAGAGCGGTGGGTGGTTGGGTATTGGATAGGACCGGGTGGTATACTTACCTTGGAGGCGCAGATATACTTGTCATACAGACTCTCCTCACGCGATAGCGATACCTGATAATGAAAGACTTGAAGGTTGAAATAAGACTTGAATATATCCCGTTGCTTGATGCACCAGGCTGGTCTGGGCCTTGGGATGGGGAGGGGTGGAAAACGTGATGGTATCGATTGGACAATCACATGTGAGGAGTGATGCCATACCACCTGAGAAAACAAGCTGGGATGGACCCCTATGGATTGGAAAACTGAAAATAGAAAAACTAGAAGTATAGACGTTCCCAGGAACAGGAAATCTTTGGTTTTTATTGTTATACGCCCCGTCAATTGATAAGTTAAGTTAGCCATTCGTTTTATTAGAAAGTGTTGAGCTTTGTGCTATTGGGTCGAGATGAAGTATCCAGATAAGCATGACGGCTTCTCACACCATACAGCAACACCACCGCCAGTGCCGCGGAGCTCAGGAAGCTCCAGCTGTACACCTGCAAACTCATTATCTTATTCCCCATCTACATCTACATTTATATTTCCCATCCCCCCCTTTCAAGTTACCCTCATATCCAAGAACCCCCCAGCTAACACCCCCCCTCCCCCCAGTCAAAGAAACCCCTCAGGTGATCCGCACCCTCTGCTCCGGCACGCCCGCGCAGCAGCTCGCGGCCCTCGACGCGAACTTCACGCACGACGCCTCCTTCCGGCACACCGTCTGCCGCGTTCCGAGCTTTGGGGACGTGAATGTGCCGCTGCTGGGCGCAGTGAACTCGAGATGGGTGATTGGGTGTGTTTATAGGTGGTATAAGCTGTTGAGCCCGAGGATTGAGGTTGAGATTGAGAGTGTTGGTATGTTAACCGTCTGGGGGGGCTGTGGCTGCCCTTTTGGCTCAGGGGAAGGGGGGCAAAGGGAAGGGGCAGTGGAGGAGATAGGAGGGGGGGTGAATAGATGCTAACAGACTACAGTTCCCGACCAAAAAACCCAGCGCCTATACGTCTCAATGGCGCAAACCTTCTCCCTCTTCATCATCCCCTTCTAAGTGCCCCTAATCAGCGTCCTGCGCCTCGTCAAAGAGGAGGATGACCGCTTCTATATCAGCGCCCAGGAGGACTACTACGAGCCAGAGGACTTTGTAATGTTCTTTGGAGCGCACTGGCTGCTGCAGATTTTCCAGTGGTTCACTGTGGCGATCTGCGTGCTCTGTACATTGTTGCTGGCGCCGCTGCTGAAGATGGCGCAGAAGATTGTGGGGTTCAAGATGGATTGAGGTAGGAAGAGGGAGGATGAGAAGGGGGGCTTTAATGGATTATGGACAGTTTGAGGCGAGGGAAGGGAGGAAAACTTGGACAAATAAGGAGACCTGGGACGATATATATGCGTTATTATAGAGCCGAATAAAAATATTAGATCAACTAGCGTTTTTAATAACTGAAAATCCTGTGAAAGTTAAACAATCACTGGAAACTTCGGAAATTATAGTCACGTGATATATCGTATATAAGAATCAGGAATAAACATATCGCCACATAAATCAATAGTGGGTGAGATTAAAAATAGAATTCAAGAATTCTCGTCATTCCCTCGCTGGATAATATTGGCCTTGTAGGAAAATTGAGAAAGTGAAGCAGCAGTAGTAATTATAACACATAAACGTCTATAACGGGGAATGTACGAGTTGTGTTTTGAAGGATCGAAATGATACGTTGTTGATTGGTTTCGAAACCCCAGCAGTCCCGCTACCACACAGTCGTCGTCACTTGTCCCCACCGGCGACGACGGTCTATCGCGATCGATCCTTCCTTACTACCTACCTCACATTCGTTCGTTTCTTTCCTTTCTTCAACTTCAACTTCGACAACAGCGACCTTCCGACATCAAACGACTTTTACAACCGCGTCTATCGCGACTGACGTCGCCATGGCTATCATGAATTCCGTCACGAGCCACATCGTCCGCAGAGGCATGGACATCCACCAGGCTCATCAATCGTCGGGCGGCCACCACAAGCATGGCGACAAGAGCCTTCTTACCCCTCTCGCCATCGCCACTCTGGCATTCACCTCCATCATCTTCTTCTTCACCATTATGATGGCGAGTCCTCCCCCTACCCCGCTCGTCGGCCCATCTAACGTCTACAGGCTTCATACACCTACGGGAACCTCATCCCCACCCTCGCCATGGTCGAGACCCCCACCGCCCTCCTGATCGAGACCACCACCACCGAAGAGAAGGAGGATAGCATGGCCAAGGAGCCCCTCCTCGAACAATACGAGGTCACCCTCATCCAACAGACCCCCATCACCGCCAGCATCCGCACAACCCTCCAGCACCTCTGCGAGACCGGTGGATTCTTCGGCCGCTACCGTGGCTTCAGCATGTTTGTCGTGTACATCTTCCTCTGCAGCCAATTCAGCATCGTTTTCTCCTTCCTCCCCTTCGGCCTCGGCGACATCCTCACCATGGTCGTCCTCTCCACCATCCGCATGGGATGGACGCACGCCATCGTCTCCGCCCCATCGCCCCTACCCTGGTTCCGCCGCCTCCCATCCATCAAGACGTTCAAGAAGATCGCGCCCATCACCGCCTTGGTTGCGATATCTGAGGAGCTCTCTATCTTGTTGCCATACCTTTTCGCCGGCGCGCTCGGACTTTTCGACAGCATGGATCGCCAGGCCGGCGGCGAGACCATCGTCGACCCCGAGGCTTGCTTGGTGAAGATTTTCGCCGTGGCTGCTGTCTTCTTCTCGTACGTCATCCTTGTCGTGGTGCCTGTCACCATGGTCATGGCTCGCATTCACGCTAGCTTGATCGAGGAGAACGTGGAGACGATTGTGTCGGTTCACCGCGAGCCGTTGTCGATCAAGGAGGCGTGGGAGAGTGTTGACTGGAACGCGCGCGTGCACGTCTACAAGGCGTACCTGAAGGGGTTCGCTATCCAGATGAGCATTATGATTCTGTTCTCCGCGGTGGTGTACGTGCAGCTCGTTATGTTCTTGGGACCAAAGTTCCCAGAGGTCATTACGCAGTACATGCTCATGGTTTAAGTGGGATTATTATCAGAGATTAAGGGATTGATTGATTGGCCTGTATAGGCACTACTAGACTGACTACGACTCATACGCTGAGTGGTTCATTTGTGGGTTAATTTGAGAAAGATTGTGTAGGATCGTAGGTCTGTGGTCGTTTTTTTGCTGTTTCGGGAGGATGGAATAAGCTAGTTCGTTAAGTAGGTCAACAGGAAGAGGAGAGATCATTGATAGTTTTCATTTACTCATGTACTTCTAAAACAACACTCATATGATAGCCTTTGCAATGCCAGCAGTTTTCCTCTCTGAAGTATGATGCCGTTTCTGTATCCTGTTCAACTCGTGTCCATTGTCGTGCGATGCCTCTCCTTGTATTGGTTATCAGTCAAGTCGGATCACAACATGAAGCTGGTATTTGACCCTCAAGTGTTCATATTGAAAAGGCCGTATTCTCAAGCGTGAATTGAATCCAATCCCTGCGTGAATTTCAGATACCCCGCACAACCTCCCGTCTTCCCTCCAAATCATTCGGCTCTATTATACAAATTCCCAGTTGGAAACGCTCATTGCTAGGAAAGAACAGCAAGGAAATGTCAAGTCTTGTGCGCTAGGTAACACACCGGATGGATCCAAGGATCACATAATCCACGACGACATGGGGTAGGACATATCGGGGCAGTCAGCGCCGGATGGGTGCAGATGGTAAAAGCATACCGGTGCTATGTTTGGATGAGTCGGCGTGGAGCCGGGGATCGGCTTCATGTATTCGAGGACATCGTCTAGGAGTTGCGTGTCGCTGGCGAGGTGGGTGTCTCCATTGGTGTGCGCGTGGCCATTGGGTTGCGTATCTCCATTGACATGCGTGAATCCATTGGGTTGCGTATCTCCGTTGACATGCGTGAATCCATTAGGCTGCGCTTCCCCGTTGAGCTGCGGCAGTCCATTGAGTTTAACATCTCCATTAAGTGACGTATACCCATTCAGCTGCGTATATCCACTGAGCATATCAGCCACCTCATCCCTATCAACCTCCCTGACAGGTCCCCAGAAGACACCAAGCTCATACGCAATAACCTGCGCCACATAATCCCTAAAGATATTCCCCCTCTCAACCTTCGCATAATGCTCCGCCCAAATAGGGATAGAAAGCGGCTCATCAGTCAGTATCTGGGCCGTCATCAGCCGATCTTGGAACTCAAACAGACCATGTTCAGCAGCGAAGACGATGGCGTTGAAGATTCCGGCAGTGGTGCAGCGGCTGGCATCGTCGCTGCGAAAGAGGGTGACGGCGTTGACGGTGCCGCGGCAGAGGAATTCGATGTAGACAGGGAAGACGGAGGGGTTGCCTGCGGTGAGGGCGCTGGCTTCTTCGACGGCTTTTTGGGTGGCGGCGTCTTGGTCGAGGATTTCTTGGGTTTCTTGGTCGAGGGCTTTTCGGTCGAGGGTCTCTTGGTAAAGGCTATCTTGGTCGAGGGTCTCTTCGGAGAGGGTCTCTTCATAGAGGGTCTCTTGGTCATCTAGCTCCTGGTTGACTGGATTTTGGTTGACTGCCTCTTGGTTGACTGCCTCTTGGTTGACGGCATCCTGGTCAACTACCTCTTTGGAGTCGTCTTTAGACATTTTGTGTGAATGGCATGAGAGTTCTTAATTTCCTAAGACAACAGTAATCGTATGCCGGTCTCTTGACGAGTAACTTTGCTTCGAGATTGAGGTGAATGCGAAGAGCATAATTAAAAGCGGATTCAATAGTCAAAACAAAGCACACAATTAGACACTGAGTCACACGGCAGGAACCATCTACCGTACTCAACATAACATTAACAACAGCAAACAAGACAGAATATCTGAAGTTCAGATAGAGTATGATAAGTCCACAACCGCCAAGCCCACATTTATAACCTCACTATCTTATCAGATCATCTACGCCACGCAGTATGTAGTTAGCGCCCGGACCAGCCGGTCACACCAAGCAACTTCGACCCCGCCAAATGCACCATTACATCTTCGCATCAACACTCCCATCCAAGGTCGCCAGCTCCAGTCCACGCCACTCAAACCCCCATTCTCTACAAAACCACTCTCACTGCCACTCCTGCGAGTTTCCGGCCCCAAGAGCCAGCAAATTGTAAGCTTACAACCTCTCCCCCCCAAGCTCCCACAAGCCCCCACCATAGCACACGAACACTCTACTCACACCCCCCCTTCCCAGCTTCACCGCCCACAATGGCTCCACCACCACCCAAATCAGGAGCTGCAGGCCTGCTCGCCCGCCAGCTGAAGGAAATGCGAGGCGACAAGAACCTTCCCGGCATCTCATGCGGGCTCGTCAATGACAGCAACGTCTTTGAGTGGGAGGTCATGCTCATGATTTCGGATGACTGCAAGTACTACGGCGGTAAGGCACCCCCCCCCCCCCCCCCGGTACCACAAGCTAACACCCACCCCCCCAGGCGCCAACTTCCGCGCCAACCTCTCATTCCCACAATCCTACCCCCTCATGCCACCAACCATGACCTTCCTGACACCCATCCCCTTCCACCCCAACGTGTACTCCTCGGGCGCAGTCTGCATCTCGATCCTGCACCCCCCCGAGGACGACAAATACGGGTACGAGAGCGCGTCGGAGCGGTGGTCGCCGGTGCAGTCGCCGGAGACGATTTTGATTTCTGTGATCTCGTTGTTGCACTCGCCGAATGATGAGAGTCCGGCGAATGTGGAGGCGGCGGTGTTGTGGAGGGAGGAGCAGAAGACTGGGGGGAGGGAGTTTAGGAGGAGGACGAGGAGGTGTGTTAGGGAGAGTTTGGGGGAGGAGTAGGGGAATGGGGGAAGGAGTTTGGGGAGGGTGGTGGCGGGGGGAGAGGTGGAAAACGCGTATATACAATATGCATAGCGATGTTTCTAGGGCACAGAAGTTATTATGATATCCCATTTCATTCTTAAGGCTGATTGGTCTCGTCAGTGTGGCAGTTTTATGACGTGTGGTTTGCGTCCGTCACAGGCATCGTTACAGCTTCAAACTGTCTTCAATTCTACCTTTGATTCTAACAACATCCCGGCTTCCCATCACCAGAGTTAATTAACCCCAACACCTTCGCTGCTGTCCCATCCCACTCTTGATCCCACCTCCTGCTCCCCTCCCTTCTTGCACCCTCTCTCAATACCCCTAGATCCTTCTCCCCACCCTTCCCAAGCAACTCCACCAACAACTCCCCCAACCGCTCACTCGTCTCAAACCCCCTCCCATTCGCCCCCTCCTTCACTAGCTCGCCCCAGCTCTCATACCCACTATACCCCACCACCGGCAGTCCAGCACCAAACATATCCACCACCTTCATCGGCAGGTCGACGCCACTACTAGACATGTGCAGGCAGACGCCTAGATCCGCGCAGGCGAGTAATTTCGCATAGTCCCCTGTGGTGAGCCAGGCGCTGAGTATAGTCACCCCCTCGAGTTTGCCGTCCGCTTTTAGCTTGTCGATGCGGCGGAAGTAGAGCTCTTTCTGGGGTCCCTTCCCGGTGATGATCGCGTGGATGGGGGGTAATGATCCGGTCTGGGAGCGGCGAGCGGAATATGTTTCTAGGGCGGAGAGGAGGAGGGAGAAGTCCTCGTCGGGGGACCAGGATGTGCTGCTCACTAGGAGCTTGGTCTTCCCGGCTATGATGTTTTTGGCCTCTAGAGCTGTGTCGGGGAGGTTTGATAGGAAAATCTGGCGCTCTTTAGCGTCGGTGATGGGTTGGAAAACCTCTGCGGGTCTGTCGTGCAGTGTAAATATCTGTGACCTGATGCTATATGGTGGGTTCATGAGCTGTCGCGCCATGGCATCAGTGACAGTGAAATTCGCAGTCGACGCATAGCGACCGAAAACTTCCTCGTAGCGCTTTGAGATCTTGACAAGAGGATGTGAGGAGCCGCGTGTGCCGGAGAGGATGGTCCAGCCGTAGTTGTGCCAGTCGATTATGAGGTGGGTGTTGCGGAGGAAGCAGATGACGAGGGAGATGGCAAGTGTTGGTATGGACGGCGGGTTTTGGACGAGAAGCCATCGGGAGGGTTTGGCTTTGTAGCCTAGTACGTGGAAGAGTGTCCAGATCTGCCACAGCACCTTTAGAGGGCCGATTATGATGAATGGGACGCCGCATTTTTGGGCCAAGGATAGTATAGATGGAGGAGGCGCAAGCGGGACGATTGCGATTAGAGGATTGTCGACGAGGCCGGGATGTAGAGCAGATTCTATAAAATGTTAAAAGTGTAACTCGGGAAAGTTGGGATAAAACATACCTTGGTATCCAATAACATCCACCCGCCCGCCATGTTTCGCTATGCTGATAGCATGGTATTGCATTCGAGGGCTTCTCCCAATATCTCCGAGGACCAGCACTTGGACGGAGATCTCGGGTTCGAGCTTCGATGCATCGAGCGGCTTATCAGTAGCTCTCCGCGGTGAACCACGCCTGTACTGCAAGGGCAAGCATAGTAGAAGCGTTGTAAGTGCCGTTGATGCCACCAGGACAAGGGCCAGGAGTAGTTGAAGCATGGAGGGCCTCCCAAGTAGAATGTTGACATGGCCAGCGAGGCTGAGATCCAAAGATCCAAAGTGGTACGGCAACGTTCTGCCACGATCCACCGCCTTCCCCGTCGAATTGTCGAATTGTCCTCAGGTTATCAGGCCAAAACGTGATCTGATTGGATGGCGATCCTACTAACTAACCCCTGCAGGGAATGAAGTCAGAGATAGAGTTGGCCAATCAGCTGCCATTCTGCACTATCCCTTAGGCGGACTTTCATCATAAATTGGAACAGGGGTTCATCACAACCCCGTTAGCCTCATGGAGCAATAACAAAACTGTCCCTCTTGCTCTTGGGTTGACTTGGGATCTTCAGACCAGAGAGCAGCTTACCGCCGGATTCTTCGGGATATTTTATCTTGTATCTTGATTTGGCTTCTACATCGTACCATCCCACACTGTCTTTATCGTCCCTGCGACAAATATACGAACTAGAATCGAGTCCAACGACGACGTCAACAACAACTAAGTTACTCCAATAACACCAACAACAACGCCTTTTCCACTGTGCCTCACTTAACACGACGCTCCTCGGACCGCTTCTATGGCTTCCACATACGCACTGCCCGTTTCTCCTCTACCTCACACCCCTCACACCCACTACCACCAGCACTCCCATGGCGGCCACGCCCACAGCCATTCGCAATCATACAACCGCTCCTCGTCGCCCAGCAAGTTAGCTCCAGCAGGATCCAGGCCGGCATACACTCCAGGGACACCATTGACCGGGAATATGCACTCGCGCACGCAGTCGGCGCACCTTCCCAACCATCTTGCCAACCTGAACCCTGATCGCTATACGGTATCTCCAGTGCGCGAACAATCACCGGCGAAGTCTGGGGATGAGAACCCTCTGGGGGACGAGGGCGATGACACCCCATATCCAAAGAACCAGCCTACAACGCCTCTGTACTCGGAGTTTACTGGCGTCAACCTCAACCAGCCTGCTGAGGACCACCCACATAATGGCCATGCCCACCACGGGCATTCTCATTCGCACGGGCATTCCCATTCCCATGGCGACCATTCTCATGGCGACCATTCCCATGGTGACCATTCTCATGGCGACCATTCCCATGGTGACCATTCCCATGGTGACCATGTCTGTCAAGGGCACCACCCAAAGGCAGTAGAGCCGCGGTCGAAATTCACAACGTTTATGCTGAAGCGTACGCTGAATTTCCCGCTCCTGCAGTCTATACTTCTCGAGAAAGACTCGCGGCGTATTTTCTACTTTATGAAGTAAGATTACTCATATGTATGACATAGCCGGCGTTTACTAATATACCTATAGTCTAAACTTTGCATTTATGTTGGTTCAGGCCTTCTACGGATTCGTAACAGATTCTCTGGGACTACTCAGCGACAGTATTCATATGCTCTTCGACTGCATCGCACTTGCCCTTGGCTTGTTCGCTGCGGTCTCGAGTAAATGGCCAGCAAGCCAACGCTTCCCGTACGGGTTTGGGAAGATTGAGAGCTTGTCTGGGTTCGGCAATGGCGTGTTTCTCATGTATGTTGGAATATGTACGAGGCTCCTGAACTACACTAACTTCTGTCCAGGCTTATCAGTGTTGAGATTATATTTGAGGCGATTGAGCGCCTTGCGGTGGGACATGAGATGAAGCGATTGAGGGAGCTTTTCATCGTGAGCTCTATGGGCCTTGCTGTTAATTTGGTAGGAATGGCTTGCTTTGGCCATCATCATCATGGCCATGACCATTCGCACGGAGGTCACAGCCACGGCGAGGAGAAACACGACCACGGCCATGGCCATGATTCCGACTCCGACATCCCTCTGATATATGGTGCTGCAAAGCACAGCCACGGCCATTCTCACGGCCACTCGCATAACCACGGTCACTCTCACGGTCACTGCCACGACAACGAGAATATGCGTGGTATCTTCCTCCACGTACTCGCAGACACCATGGGCAGCGCCGCTGTCATCGTATCAACCGTGTTAATCCACTTCCTCGGCTGGCCTGGATGGGATCCCCTCGCCTCCTGCCTCATCGCAATTCTCATCTTCCTGTCTTCCCTCCCTCTGGTTAGCAGCTGCGCCAAGCGTCTTCTATTGACTATCCCGGCGGATACGGAATACAAGCTCCGCGAGACGCTGTCTGGCGTTAGCGACCTGCGAGGAGTGGCTAGCTACTCGGTGCCCAGATTCTGGATGGCAGATGGCCCCAATCTCGTGGAGGGCGAGCCAATCCTGGGCGCTATGCATGTTATCGCAACGCGCGGGTCCCAGCTCGACGACGTCCGCGAACGGACGCGAACATATCTCTTGGGTCATGGGATGGATGTGGTTGTCCAGGTTGAGCGAGAAGGAAACGCAAAGTGCTGGTGTGGCGGCGACAACACGCGCACGCCCGCAAACTCGACATCGCGCTTCTAGACGGAGTGAAATCTACTTTCTTGTATTTATTCTGGTAGGGTGAAAAGCTCCTCCAACTTTACTGGTACATTATTATTGCATTATGCTCGGAGTTACGGTGGGCATTGAGGGCATTTGGGAGGTTTGTTTAACGATATCACGTACAAGAAGGATTATACAATTGTCAGCGCGTTAAAAAGAAATAAAAATAAAATAAATCCCTCGTTGGGCTGTGATCAAAACTGTGATGCTCTTATATGGTACCCTTTGACGACGTCCCCGCCGACCAATCATGCCCCACCGCTGGTGTCCCCATGAAACCCCACGACACCGACCGGAGGCCGCCACCCGGGACCGAGTCGTTCGCGTTGCCTCGGCACACCGGGGTTGGAGTTCCACTCGCACAAGCTTCACCGAGCGCCGCGCCGCAATTCGATCATCCACCGAGTAAATTTAGCTCTGGTCGTGCGAAAAAGTCGATTTCCCCTTCTCCTCGTTGTGCTTGCTCCCTCCTTCCTCCGTCATCAATCTTCCTCCTCCCATCTACTCTCTACGCGCTCGTATCTCTATCTCTCTCTCTCTCTCTCACCTCTCTCCATCCTTTCACCCGACACCTCTCGCGCAGAGAGACCTAGCAAGCAATGGCGTCCAACCCCCTCCCCAAAGCCAACGAGGCCCTCGACAAGCTCCCCATAGCCGTCCCGCATATCCCAGAGACGAAGGCTGAGCTCAAGGAAGACATCCAGGTCGTGGCTGCGAAGTCGTTCGCGGGGCTCCGCTCGTTCGCCGCTGGTGGTTTTGGTGGGCTTTGCGCCGTTGTCGTGGGACACCCTTTTGACCTCGCGAAGGTCAGGCTGCAGACTGCTGAGGCGGGTGTGTATAAGGGTGCTATCGATGTGGTGACTAAGAGTATTGCGAGGGATGGATTGAAGAAGGGCTTGTACGCCGGTGTGAGTGCCCCGCTGGTGGGGGTTACTCCTATGTGTAAGTTTCCCTCCATTTAACTCTCCGAGCCAATTGACGGCGACTGGGGCAAATGCAAGTAATCCGCGCGGTGCTAACTACCGCACAGTCGCCGTCTCCTTCTGGGGTTACGACGTAGGCAAGAACCTGGTCAAGAAGTTCTCCACTGTGCACGACAACCAGCTCTCCATCGCCCAAGTCTCCGCCGCCGGCTTCTTCAGCGCCATCCCCATGACCGCCATCACCGCGCCCTTCGAGCGCGTCAAGGTCCTCCTCCAGGTCCAGGGCCAGAAAGTCCTCGCACCAGGCGAGAAGCCAAAGTACAGCGGCGGCGTCGACGTCGTGCGTCAGCTGTACAAGGAGGGTGGCGTGCGCAGTGTGTTCCGTGGCTCTGTCGCGACGCTCGCGCGTGATGGGCCGGGTAGCGCGGCGTACTTCGCGGCGTATGAGTATATTAAGCGTAGCCTTACGCCGGTGGACATCCACACCGGTAAGCCTTCGGGTCAGCTGAGTCTGACTGCTATTACGACGGCGGGTGCAGCGGCGGGTGTGGCTATGTGGATCCCTGTCTTCCCAGTCGACACGGTGAAGTCGAGGCTGCAGACTATGGAGGGTAACCCTACGGTGTCGGGTGTTGTGAAGGGGCTGTACCGCGCGGGTGGTCTGAAGGCTTTCTTCCCTGGTTTTGCACCTGCGATTTGTAGGGCTGTGCCGGCGAATGCTGCGACGTTTTTGGGCGTGGAGTTGGCGCATCAGTTTATGAACAAGGCGTTTGATTAGAGGGAGATGGATGGGTGCTGAGGGAAAGGGAAGGAAAAGAAGGGATATTTTAGACGGGGTTACTGGAGGAATGGATGGGCATTGAAGGCATCAAGGGGGAAGATGCTCAATGAGGCCCATTGTGAATATATACAATGGGATGAAGACGTGGTGATGCTGTGGATTCGAGGGTCAGGCATTGAGGGATGGTGTACATAGGAACGGGCATTCTCCTGTGGAAGGTTGGCTGTAGAGATATAGTACAAGCGCGCATAAAGACAGATCCATTATTATCATTCCGTTTAAGCCTAGCAAACCACGTATTCTCATCCAAATTGAACTTTAAAGTTGTCCTTAAACACCTTCCCATGATTCCTCGGGCGGAAGCGGCGTGGCGGCAGAAGACGCAATCCCCTGCCAAGAGCTCCCCCATCTCGGCTTTTACCGATAAGCACGATAAGCACGATAAGCCGCTCATCGTGCCTTGCCACTATAATAAGACTCTCCCCAGCCGCCCCCTCACCCCCTCACACAAAACCTCCCACCATGCGTCGCCCCTCATAACACCCACCTACATGTCTGGACTTGCCCTCAAAGCCGGCCTCCGTGCCGCAGCACCCCTGCGCCGCCCCCCGCCTCTCCTCCGGCGCCAGCAAGCGCCAAAACGAACCACCACTACGAACGCGAACGCACCGAAGACCGCCGCACCTGGCAGCACAACCACGACGCCCTCGCCCAGCACGACTATCCCGATGGCGGGCTCTATACCTCCTCTTCCGCTGTGGCAGCGCTTGGGGCCGCTCACGACGGCACTATCCCTTTTCAGTCGGGCGCAAAGGGCGCGGCCATGGACGACGCAGTTTGTGAGCACACTGATTGTGTATTTCCTGGGTGATTTGAGTGCGCAGCTGATTAGGGGGGGAGAGTATGAGGCGGAGAGGGCGGGGAGGGCGTTGGTTATTGGGGCGGGGGCGGCGATTCCGGGTTATACTTGGTGAGTTCTTTCTTTCTTGCCGGGGAGGGGGTGCTGGAGATGGGATTTGGACTGGACTATGCTAACACGAAAGAATAGGTTCGTCTACCTCGGCAACTCCTTCAACTACACCTCCCCCACCCTCTCCCTCCTCACCAAAGTCATCGTCAACCAACTCGCCTTCACCCCCGTCTTCAACACCTACTTCTTCGGCATGCAATCTCTCCTCTCGCACCCCCCCTCTCTCTCCAGCCTCGAACATGCCGTCGAGCACGTCAAGCGGACCGTGCCGACCAGCTTCGTGAATAGCTGTAAACTTTGGCCGCTTGTTACGGCTTTTAGTTTTACGTTCTTGCCGCCGGATTTTAGGAATGTGTTTGGGGGGGTGGTGGCGATTGGGTGGCAGGCGTATTTGAGTTTTTTGAATCGGAAGGTGGAGGGGGGGGTGGAGAGGGAGGAGAGGGAGGAGGAGAGGAGGGTTTTGGAGGCGGAGAGGGAGGAGGGGAAGGGGAGTACGGCGTGAGCGAGGGGATAGAGGTTGATTGAACATACGATGCTTGTGGGAAAATAGCAGCATTTGGGGTATACATATAATGTTATACGGCGTTATAGTGGGGTTCAGGCGTCACGGGTGGATGCACGACACATCCATCCAGGTTTTGCTAGTGGATATAGATCGCACTGGTTACCCCTTTTTGGCGGTTTAGATTTTTGGGGGTTAGAATTGATGGCAGCGTATAGACTTGAGTCTGGCAAAGAATATTGAAGACTGCTGCTGAAGTGAGAATTCTGTGTGTGAGTTCTGTGAGAGAAATGATGCTGGCGCGTACAATGGGTCTGCCTTCCCCCCCTTTTCACCTCTCCCTATCCCTATCCCCTATCCCTATCCCCTATCCCTATCCCCGACAGACATCTATATAAACCCCCAACCGTCTCCTCCCAACGAAACGATTCAAAATGAATGCGGCAAGAAACCCCCCTTCAACTCCATCCCCCTTCCTTCCTCTATCCTATTCTCCCACGGCCATCTCCCATTCTCTCCCCTTTTCCACCCCCGCACCTTTCTACTTCATCCCGTCCGCCCCCTACAAACCGCCGGCGCCACTATCCAAGACCGCATGATGGGTCCAATCTGAAGTAATAGAAACCAAGACGACACTACTAATTGAGGACATGCATCTCCATACCCCCTCCTACACCCTCCTACACCCTTCGATCCCCATCACTCGCCAGAACCTCCAACCTCATTTGAAATTTGTGACAGCGACGCTTCTGTATTCAACTTACATCTACCGTATCCAGATTGACGCGGCGGACGCTAACGTCAACCGAGACAGCGTGCCTGGAACCGTGCATCTGCGACAGGGAGAACGCAGCGGCGACGTGGGTAGAGGCGACAGCACACAGCATCAGTGACAAGAACGCATCAAGCAACAAACCCAGCATGTGTCCCTCGCGCTCGTGCTGGGTATTGTTGTCGAGGCTTTCTGCTTCTAGGTTTGAGAGCCAACAGTTTGGCGAAGAAGCGGATCCAGCAACAACGTGTATTGGGTATGTTTTTGGGGTGGGAGGGGTGGGATATTTATATGCTTTTTTCTGTTGAGTTGTGCGTGATAAGGTGGAGGGGTGTTAGAAACGAATAGACATATTTTTCGCTCGCCCCTATTCCCCCCCCTTTTTCCTCTCGTGTGCCATCCTCTTCCCATTCTCTTTCTCCCCTTCCCCCCCCACTCCTATCTTCAGCCCTCATGCCTCCGCTTCTCCACCTCCCCGTAGATGACTACATAAACCTCTTCCACCCCACCACTCTCTCTCTTCTCAACTCAACACATGGCCGAGAGAGATAAATGGATCGCGCACCCCTCCACCACCATCGCTCGATCCACACATCCCCCTTCCCCCCCCTCCAACCGGCCATCTCGTAGTATCCCAGCCATCCATCAAATGACCAATGACAAGTCTCCCGCGGTGACAAAAAGTACCAGCGGTGACGAAACAGCGCCCCAGTGACAGCAGCAGGCCCCCTCTGCCTGCCGATTTTAGATTTTAGATCAAGGCCTCCACTAGACCGAATAGCGAGGCGCGTTCCCCACAGAGTTTCAACCCCCCCCCCCCGCCCCACCCTTTCTAGCGTTCACAGCCATACCACCTCTCCGCCTGCAATCGCTGTCTTGTTGTGTTTTTGCGCTGGGGGAGTGGTGGCGGTGACAGCATCCCGCGCCGGTGAGAATGGACCAGTGACAGGACGCCTTGGTGACAGCAGCTAGCAGCGGTAATGAGAACCCCCCCCTTTTCTTCATCCTCAACCACTACCAAAGCCCCAGCGTCACGCAAGACTCGGAGCGTCTGAGGAAATTCTCCTCTCCTCTTCTCTGATTTTCTCTTTTTTGCAGCGGATTCGTTGAATCTATAAGATTGTGGAATTGTGCCTCCCCTTTTTAAGCTGGATGACGACGGTGGTTGGGAATTGGTCGTGTTCCCTCTTCCCCCCCAACCACCACCCCCCTTCCCTCCTCCCAGCCAAAACGAAAAAGGGTAGTTACAGAACATAACCAAAAGCCTCCCGTCCACCACACCCTCCTTAACCAGCACGTCGCACCTCCCACTACATCATCGCTGGCACGCTGAGGCGGCGCGGTGTGTTTCCCGACCAGGCGGTGGTGATGATAGTGTCGGTGGTGGTGAGAATGTAGTGGTGACGGGGCTAACTTAATATGCTGATGACAGTAGGTAGCAGCGATGGCGAACCAGCTCAGCGCATCTGCCGCCTTGCGATCCTGTCCCGTGCTGTCTCCCGCCTGAGCATGAGGATGAGAGACTTATGGTATAGGGGTACTGTGACCCGCCGCGGGTCAACTATTCTGTTTCCTCGAGGCTAGTTGTTAACACGGCGAATGCCTTGCGCTCAATAACCAGCCCCTAACGATTTAATGAACTACCCTACTATACCCTCTACCGAGGCCTATCATGAGGTCGGGTCTCACTGTGTCTTGGTTATCTTTTCATCTTTCTCCTCCTCGTCCTCTCGCGTTGTTATATACGCGCTGGGGTTTTGGGGGTGTGAATCTATGCTTTTCCGGGGGGGGTGGGGAGTTAGATTCATCACCGTCCATCCCTCCATCCCCAACCTCCCCCCCTTTCCTCTTCCCATCGCCATTCTCCCCCTCCTCCCCCCTTTTTCCCGCTTCGAAAAAACTATCTATACAAACTCCCGACCCTGAAACGCTCTCCAATCCACCACCCACTACCCCTCTCCGCCCTACGCAGAAGACGCCACAGCAGACGCCACAGCACACAGCACAACACAGCACATCCTCGAATTTTTGTATGGTCGCATGTCCTGTTGTGTGGTGGTGGTGGGGGGGGGCGGGTGTTATATAACCCCTCGTACGCGCTACTACTCGTATCGCTTTGGAAGTTCGGGGATGTAGATGGATGGGGAAGGGGGGGATAGATGGACATACACATGGTACACGCAACATAAACGAAGAGCAAGTCAGGGGGTTATGGGTAATCGACAAGACTTCTTTCCTTCTCTCCTACTTCTCCTATCTCCTATCTCTCCCCTATCACCCCCTTTTCACTTCTCTCCTCTTCTCTCTTCTCCTTCTCCCCCTTTTCTCCCCCTTCCCCCACACAGCAAATAAAAGCCAACCCCATGCCAACCTCAAGAACGAAAAAAAAACTAAGGTCCCCAGCCTCTCTCAGAGATACGATAAGACATATAGCGGCATGTAGACACCACGACAAGATCCCATCGCATCTCCCCCACAAAGAATAAGTAAAATAGTACCTCCCCCCTTCACTCATCCGAGATACAAAGACATTAAACATCCATCACCCCCCAAGAATCGAACAACAAACATCATCATCTCCGAAGAAAAAAAAATAGGAGCGACAAAATGCGCGAAGAAAGCCATTCATAATGGTTGGAAACAAAGTAAAAAAAAAAAAAAAAAAAAAAAAAAAAGGTTGTGTCGGGGGAACAACAAAAAAGGAGTAGAGAAGAACGTCAGCCAGCCACACAGATAGTAGCCGACGAGAGTTGAGTAAAAAAACACCATACACCATCCCACCACCTCATCCATCCACAAACTCCCACTCATCTCATCCATCAATCACCACCATCTCAACTCATCACATCACCCCTCTAGTTCCCTGGAACAGGTTTCCTCCCCACACCAACCGGTTTCCTCTCCACGACCACCGCCGGAGCCGCAGGTCCTGTCGGCGCAGTAATAGTAACCTCCGGAATGCTGAACCCACTGCCCTCTTGCGAGAGGGCGGGGCTACTCGGTAGTGGCACCGCCGCAGCTACTGGACTCGAACTCCCCACCGTCGCCGCAGACGAAGAAGGCGAAGAGATAGCATGTGGAGGCGGGCTGGACGGTCCCTGCTGTTGCTGCTGCGCTTGCTGAGATTGTTGTGGAGGACCACGGTTCATACCAGGCGACATCGGTCCCGGGCCTTGTTGGGGCCGGTATTGTGGACCTGGCCCGTAATTCCCAGGACCAGGTGAGTTACGTCCGTTGGCTGACATAGCCGGAGACATCGGTCTCCCCCCCTGATTCGGACCCTGAGGACGTCCCTGCTGTGGTCTTCCCTGACCATTCGGGCCTTGTTGAGGGCGATACTGCGGGCCACGTCCATTTCCGTTCATTGGTGGACCGGCGCGGTTCTGGTTCATGCCTTGGTTCGGGCCTTGCTGTTGCTGCTGGTTCTGGATGGGGCCTTGGTTTTGGTAGGAAGGATAGAGAGGGGCGTTGGATCCGGTGGGAGAGTGGCGGCGCTGATCGTTCTGGAAGGGGCCGGGGACGGGTTTGTTGGACTTGTTGGAGGGGGAGCGGCGGGCGGCGATGGGGGAGTTGGAGATGCAGGTTCGGGGGAGGACGCCCTCGGAGGAGCCGTCTTCTTTGATGCACATGCACTAGATTTCGTTAGAAGCCATTACAACACAATTATCACCCCTTAAAATGGAGCGGGAAATGGGGGAAAAAGAAGGAAAAATAAAAGACTCACCCATCCATCATCAAACTCCTTCAACAACTTCACAATCTCGCCCGCCCTAACCTTCAACTCATCCGGCATCGAAGGCGAGAAATCAAGATGCACACGATACAAATTCGCATTACTCGCCGCACCACCCGCACCAACCACCGCCGCCGCAGCAGCCGGCGAAACCGGCGACGCCGGACCACTGCTGGACTCCTCAATCACACCCGCCAACGGCTGCGGCATCACGCCGGTGTTGTGCATCTGCTGACTCGTGTTCGTGGCTCTATTCCCATCCGTCCTGGCCGCATCACTGAATGGGGATTGCGCATTCTTGTTACCATTGTACTTATTCTGCGCCCCGCGCGAGGTGCTGCGAACAGGAGCTGCGCCGGCGACGACACCAGCAGCGGACACGCCGTCGACGACGGAGGGACCACCGGCGTTGACGGGATCGATGGATTCAGCGTGGTTGCCGAAGGGGTTAGCGCGGTTCTGCTCCATGCCGCGGTTTTGCGAGGTCATTTGAATACCACTCCCAGCGGCGTTGGGGTTCTGCACCTGGCTGGCGCGGTTGGGCATGAAGAATGCAGTCGTAGGACGGACGTCAAGGCGCGGCGCGGTCGACAGGCGCTTGAGGCCGCGCATACTGGCAGGACCACCAGCAGCGGCGGCAGCGGAGGGCGGTGGGACGTTAGTGAATTTCTCGTCATCCATGCGTTCGCGCTCCTCGGCCTTCTTGCGCCGGCGGAGACAGAAGAATATCAGGGAGAGGATGGAGGCGATCACGACGATGATTCCGATAGCCAACCCAGCTTTGGCGCCGCCGGTCATGCCGCTTGGGGCGGTGGAGGGGATGACGGAGGGGGTGGAGGAGGGGGAGGAGGTTGGGGTTGGGGTTTCGGATGTCGCTTCTGTTTGGGAGGCGATCAGGACTACCGAGTTGGTGTTAACGGTGGAGCTGGGGACGATTGATTCGGGGAGTCCCGATAAGGAGGTCGGTGTGGGCGTCGTCTTTGGCTTCTGGGCGGTTGTGGATGCCTTGGTGTGAGCGGTGGATTTGGGAGTCGGCTTCGGCGTGGGCGAGTCGAGGAGGACGGGGGTGGTGGGTGTTGGGTCGCCGCCGCCGGGTAGGGAGGTCGAGTAGCCGGCGATTGGGTCGGTGAAGGTTGGGGACTGGGTAACGTAGACGTAGCGGGTGCTGCCTTCACGCTTTGCGGCCGTGGCTTGGTTGCCGAGGCCGACGGCGTTGCCTAGGTCGTCGAAGAAGTCCCTGAAGTCGCGGGCGCCGTGGAGGTGACGGTGGTGTTGGTGGACCATTGTGATGATTGTTCGGATGTGGTCCTGGGTTGTGATGATTGTTCGGTCCGCAGGACACGGTTTGTGGGGTTCTTCTCTTTTTGAATAAGGAGCGCCGCGAAGTGGTGAAGATGGAAGAACACTTGTGTCTGTTCACAGAACGTAGTAGTAGTCGGGTGAATAGTTCCCCTTTCGCCGTAAGTAACAAACCAATAAATGAGCGACGAGCCGGCGACGAGAAGTAATCGATCAACAAGAGTGCATCCTCTAATCAAAGAGGTAGACGGTGTAGTGTATAAACAGTTTGATGGGTCGGTGAGTTGGAAAGAATGAATGTATAAACAGTTGATGGGTCGGTGAGTTGGAAAGAATGGAAAGAATGAATGTATAAACAGTTGATGCGTCGGTGAGTTGGGAAGAAAGAAGGTGGGCGCATGTCAGGTCCAACGTGCAAACCCCCCTCATACCCGACGGCGACTGGTCCGGCGGTTATGACAACAAGAAGACCAAACCAACAGGAAGCAGCCAATCAAAGGGCGAGAGGAGGGTGTTGGCAGGGTGGCCGCGAGTCTGTCTCGTCTGTCTCGTCTGTCTGTCAGATGTCTTGTGTTCCTGGCGCTACGGAGGGGATGGGGAGGCTAGAGACGCTAGGGAGTAGGTAGGGAGTAGGTTAGACTGGATGGGGAGGCTCGAGGCTAGGGAGTGGGTTAGGCTGGATGGGGAGGCTCGAGGCTAGGGAGTACAGTAGGTTAGGCTAGATAAGGGAGGCTAGAAACGCTAGGGAGTAGGCTAGGGATAGACTAGATGGGGAGGCGAGAGGTAGCGAGTAGGCTAGACTAAGGCTGGATAGAAGGGCTAGAGCTAGGGAGTAGGCTAGACTAAGGCTGGATAGAAGGGCTAGAGCTAGGGAGTAGGCTAGACTAAGGCTGGATAGAAGGGCTAGAGCTAGGGAGTAGGCTAGACTAAGGCTGGATAGAAGGGCTAGAGCTAGGGAGTAGGCTAGACTATATGGGGTGTGGCGTGTTTGGTTTCAGGATGCGGTTCCTGCCTCTCCCTTCCCTAGTTGGGGTGTCCTAGGCGTCGTGGTGGACAGTAGCACGTTTCATGTTTTCACGTACTCATACCCGCCCCATCCCCCGCTCCGCCCATAGAAAAGCATCCATCCCACCGCCACCGATGCCCTCTTTTGCTCACACCGCATAAACGCTAGCATGGGTGTGGTAAGTGCTTTTGTACCTTGCAGTGTCGAATTCTAAGCGAGGCGGTTTGATTTCGGGCGGAGGAGGGTGTCAAACTGTGATCACGTGATGTGCATGATATTTATTTATATCTGCTTCTATTCTACTCACTGATACACCCTCCTCCTGCTCACTTTATACCGAACTCCCCCCCTACTGTCTCCCCCTACTGTCTCCCCCTACTGTCCCTGTTCACCCCCCCTCAAAACCCTCAACCTCTCCTGCATCTCCGCCACCGCCCTCGCCGCTTCGGCCGTCTGCTGCTGGCCCATCTGCTGCGGCGCCGGTGGAGGTGTCCATCCCCCAAACTGCCCTGGCATGGGGGGTGTCATGCCCTGTGGTGGTGTCCACTGCTGCTGTCCCTGCTGCTGTACCTGCTGTTGTACCTGCTGTTGTTGTTGCTGCTGCTGTGGTTGCTGTGGTTGTTGACCCTGTTGCTGCTGTGGCTGCTGTGGTCCTTGACCCTGCTGCTGCTGTCCAAAGAAAGCTGGGTTCAAAAACGCTCCTCCTGGGATCTGCGGACCCCCCCATTGTTGCGGCGGTATTGCGTACGGGTACGGGAACTGCTGCTGATGATGGGTTGGGAAACCTTGTTGTTGACCTGCCGACTGTATTTGTGGCTGCTGCTGCTGTCCAAATTGTTGGAATGGGAAGGGTTGCGGTGGGAACTGCTGGGGGTTAAACCCGAACCCTCCTCCCGTTTTTCGAGGATCTTGTGGTGCGTCGGCTGGGGCGGCGGGGTAGCGCGGTGCTTGCTGTCCATCGCGTCCCTGGCCGTCCCGTCCGCCACGGCCGCGCCCACGATCACCCCGTCCCCTATCCCCGCCCCTTCCCCTCCCCCCGCGCTCACCCCTCGAAGCTCCAGGCGCCCCATACCCCCTCGGCGCCTCCTCCGGCGCCTCCCCCCTCCCAGCTGCTGCGAAACCCGACGGTCTCGCAAGCGGCCTATACGGCCCCTCCTCCTCATCATCATAACCCAATCCCTCCCTCCTAAGCGGGTGTTCCCCCCTCCCCCCCCTCCCTCCCCTCCCCCCACCCGCAGCAGCAGCACCAGGGCCAAGACCGCGTTTCTCCAGTTTCTTAGCCTTAACACGGCGTTTATGTTCCATCTCCTTCTCATCATCTGAGAATTCGATTTCTTCGTCGCCGACTTCCTCGTCATGGAGGTTGGAGGCGTCGGAGCCCTTGTAGGCTTTTAGGGCGGCTGTGAAGACGAATGTCGCGTGGGTCTCGGGGTAGTAGATTTTTATACCCTTGGAGAGGCCGGCGGCGGTGATGTCGGGGGGGGAGGTGAAGCGGACTACGTAGAGGGGTTCTTGGACTCTACCGAGCGTCTCGGCGACTACGCCGATGACGCTGCGATCCTCGAGACACAACAGCGACCCCGACTCCAGAACCCTAAACTCCCCAGATGTGGTAGCAGCGATGAGAACCATGGTATCCACAATCGACATCACGGTGCCCAACTCCGTCACCGGCGTATCAGCCGCCAGCACTACGTCAGGCTTGGGGATCACCTCCTCAGGGACCTCGTTCTTGGTGCGTAGCTGGTTGCCGCTAGACTTGCCACCCTTACCGCCACCGCCTTCGTCGTCGGAGCCGCCGTCGCCGAGCATCAGGATGCGTGCTTGTTCGGCGGGGGAGAGGAGGTTGTAGGCGTCTTCTTCGTCGCTGTCTTCTTCGGAGGAGGAGTCTGAGGAATCTGAGGAGGAGGATTCGTAGGGGGAGGAATCGGCTTCAAATTCTGCTGCGCCGCCTTCTTGTTCTTCGGCGACGGCATCACCGGTGGTGGTGGTGGTGGTGGTGGGGGGGATGCAATCCATCATCGCTGCGTCGTCGGGGGCTGTTACCACTCCCTCTGCGATTTGGGCGAGGGGGGTGTTGGTGTGTGAATCTTCCATCTTAGTATCTTCCATCTTTATATCTTCTGGCGCTTCTGTGGCGGTACCGGATTGGAGGGGGGTATCTGTCGTCATAGGTCCTGTGGACGCCTCGGGGGAGAGACCACCTAGCATTGCTTCTAGGGCGTTTGTGACGGAGGGTCCTTCATCGCGTGTCTCTGTCTTCACTTCGTTCGAAGTGGTTATGGGGGCGCCAGTAGGTGGCGCGGGGTTTTTAGACTCGGTCGTCTGCGCTGGAGCGGATGGAGGAGGTGCGGAGCCGAGGCCGGGAATGGCTCCTAGGCCGGGGATGGAGGTGAGATCTGCAGAGGGCATTGACGGTTGTTGGTCTTGTTGGGGAGTGGTGGTTTGGTTTGGGTGGCCACCAGGGTTGGTGGATGTAGAATCCATGATCGGTCGCGCGCTGAAGTCGGCGTATCCAAGATGCGCTCAGAACAATTCTTCAAACCAAGTCTCCTCCTCTCCTCAGCTTTATGTACTTAACCAAGTAGCAACTAAGCAAAGAAGTGAAGTAGAAGTAATGTAACCCTGAAGTTTCCAAAAACCAAAATAAAATTCACGATAAGAAACACACGAGGCTACCGATAAAAGTCTCGGTCGCAGCTTTTCCCACCACCCAAGCACCACACTAGCGTCTTGGCGTCTAACAGGGTTCCCTTAATAGCTCCAGGGATGACATACCTCGTCGGTGACAGCCGTGGGGATCGAACTATAATGTGCGCCGCCCGGTGTCAACTTTCCACGTTGACGATTACACTATAGGCATTGAGTCGTCGCCATGCCTCCGCCGACGAAGATGCTTCATGCATCACAATCAGAAGGCCTAGCTGCCCGGTCAGCCAAGCCCCAAAAAATGTCCGGCCCCCAAATCCCTCCCCCAAAGCTCCGCCCTGACATTAATTCTCCCCAGTCCCCCACCAACCCCCTTCGCCATGAAACCCATCACCGCCCTCTGGGTCTTCCTCCTCTTCAACCTCCTCGCCGCCCTCACCTCCCCCATCGAAGACTGCGACGAGACATTCAACTACTGGGAACCGACCCACTACCTCGCGCACTCCTACGGTCTGCAGACATGGGAGTACTCCCCCATCTACTCGATCCGAAGTTGGGCTTATGTTGGTCTCCATGCCCTCGTGGGTAGTTTCCGACGACTCCTCCCGTTTCCTACGAAGGTGGGGGAGTTTTACTTCATCCGCTACGCACTCGCGTTCGTCTGCGCGGTGTGTCAGACGCAGTTATTTCGGGTTATTAGCATCACCCTCAACCCGCGGATTGCGCTGTTCTTCTTGCTCGCTATGATTAGCAGCCCGGGGGTGTTTAGAGCGTCGACGGCGTTTCTGCCGAGTAGTTTCGCGATGTATACTACGATGCTTGGGATGGCGGCTTTTATAAATTGGAGGGGGGGATTGAGGACCGCGCAGGGGGTGTTTTGGTTTGCGGTGGGGGGGGTGTTGGGGTGGCCTTTTTCAGTGGCGCTTGCGGTGCCGTTTTTGGTGGAGGAGGGGGTTTTGGCGGTGGTTAATGGGAAGGAGGCGTTTGTTGCGGCGGTGAGGAGGTTGGTGAAGGGGGTGGGGGCTTCGGTTTTGGTTGTGGTGAGTAATTTGACAGCGAGATGAAAGAGAGCGGTGAATAGGAAGGGATGGAAAGGATATACTAACGTACGTTCTCAGCTCGCCGAATTCACCATCTCCTCAACCTTCTACCGCCGCCCCTCCCTCGTCCCCCTCAACATAGTCCTCTACAACGTCTTCAGCCCCCCCCACAAAGGCCCGAACATCTACGGCACCGAGCCCTGGTCCTTCTACATCCGCAACCTCCTCCTGAACTTCCACATCTTCCTCCCTCTCGCCCTCCTCTCCCTTCCCCTCTTCATCCTCCTAAAACTCTTTTCCCGCCAGCCCCTCGCCTCGGGACTGCGGACGCTGGTGTTTATATCGCCGTTTTATCTTTGGTTGGCGATTTTCTCCGCTCAGCCGCATAAGGAGGAACGGTTCATGTACCCGGCGTACCCGGCGCTGGCGCTAAATGCGGCGATATCGCTGCATATCCTACTTGCGGCTCTGGGACAATCTTCATCACGCACACTGATCGGTCGCGTCCCAGCAGGTCTCAAACTCCTCATCGTCCTCACGACACTGGGTACATCCATCATCCTGGGATTCTCCCGCATCCTCGGCGCTTACGACGCTTTCTCCGCGCCCCTTCATGTCTATGAGCCCCTGCAGAACCCGGGGGTGGCGGTGCAGGGGGGGTCGGTGTGTTTGGGGAAGGATTGGTATAGATTCCCCTCTTCGTATTTTTTGCCCAAGGGGATGAGGGCCAGGTTTGTGAAGAGCGAGTTTAGGGGGCTGTTGCCGGGGCAGTTCGCGAAGGGGGCTGCGGAGGGAGAGGGTGGGTGGTGGCCGGGGACGTGGGTGGTACCGGAGGGGATGAATGATGAGAATTTGGAGGATGTGGGGAAATACGTGAGTTTGCCTCTTTTTTCCCTTTTCCCCCTTTATTTTCTTGTTTTTCTTCCGAGATGGATAGGGTGGATAGTATGGATGGCTAACGGAAATAGGATGATATCACAACCTGCGAGTTCCTAGTGGACACCCACTTCCCCTCTTCCGCCCCCTCGGCCCTCGAGCCGGCATACATGCTCGATACGGATACGTGGGAGGTGGTGCGGTGTGAACGCTTTATGGATGCGGGGAGGACGGGGTTAGTGGCGAGGTTGGGGTGGGTGCCGTTGGGGTTTGGGGGGGAGAGGGTGTATGGGGAGCATTGTTTGTTGAAGCGGAGGTTGGGGGGGAAGTGAGGGAATGGGGTGTACGATAAGGTGTTTGTATATTAGATGGGTGGATTGGGTAAGTTCTAGATGATGTGGTGGTATCTTGGCTAGTTGATGTGAATATCACAAAGGGCGATAGACCAGCTGTACGCCAGCATCAAATCTCCCACAGCACCCCCCTCACGTTCTCCGTCCTATTCCGTGTGCCCAACCCTCCGTCTATAAAGTAATAATGAACTGGGCAAAAGGGTGTGTCTTGTGCAGACAGGCGGTTCCAGAAACACGAGATGGAAGAACCACCCGGTGTCGTTCTGGTGGCTCAGAATGGAGGGCGTACCTTGTCGACGGATTTAAGAATGGGCTTACAACTTCTAACACCATAGTAGCTTCTATAACTACTCTCACACTCGCCCTCTTAACGAATGTTATAACTTCAGCTTCGTGCGTTTGGGATAAATACCTCTAACCAGCCAACATTTCTGCTTCCATTTACCTAATCATCTGATTTTACGTCTCAAGGCGATATCTTTTGATCTATTTACCGCAAGGATGTCTCAAAATATTAATATAGTGTTTGTTCCATGACATTTGGCAAAGAGAGTGAGTATGACGCCTTCCAAGTGCCACCTATTGCCAACTCAAATTTCCAGATACGTTAGTGTCCCGCGTGTATACTGCTGAGGAAGCAGGCAAGATCGTCGACATCTTTCAGCAACATGGCCACGACGAAATTGACAGTGCTCGGGTATACGGGAACGGTACAACAGAGGAAATACTCGCAGATATCGATTGGCAGAAGCGAGGCATTGTTATGGACACAAAGTTATACCCAAACGCCGGCACAACGATGGGTAAAGATGATCCATACACCCATAAGCCAGAGGATGTGCGCAGAGGCCTCATGGCGAGTCTCAAGGCGCTCAAAGCCGACAAAATCGACATGTTTTATCTCCACGGGCCTGACCGAAAGATTCCCTTCAAGGACACTCTTCGCGAGATGAACAATCTTTATAAGGAGGGTTACTTCAAGCGTTTTGGAATTAGCAATTACATGTCTTGGGAGGTTGCAAAAATCGTGGAGATTTGTGAGGGAAATGGTTGGATCAAGCCTACCGTGTAACAGGGAATCTATCTCGCACTACAGCGCACCGTTGAGGCGGAACTGTTCCCATGCCTACGCCACTACGGCATCTCTCTCTATGCCTCCCAGCCTCTCGCTGGTAGTTTCTTGGCTGGGCGCTACACGTGGGATCAAGAGACCTCCGAGAAGGGTAGCCGATTCGACCCTAAGATATTTCAAGGTACCCTCCATCGTGGACGCTATTGGAACGACTCTTACTTCGACGCACTGGATATCATCAATGGTGTCGCGAAGAAACACGGGCTTACTGTTGCGGAGATCGCGCTGAGGTGGTTACATCATCATTCGCAGCTGAAGGCAGAGTTCGGGGATGCTATTATTATTGGCGCGAGTAGCACAAAAATCTTGAGGGCAATCTGACGGGTTTGGAGAAGGGTCCGCTGCCGGATGATGCTGTTGAGGCGCTGGAGAAGGCGTGGTTGACGACCAGGGTGGCGCCGAAGTACTGGCATTAGGCTCCTTCTGAGCAGTTGTATTTAGTGGATGAGAAAAGATTCAAACAAGAGAGCGGAAGTAAATTGGGATATATTCTTCTATAAATATAAAATACCATATCAAAATGCTACTCACGTCCATCAACCTTCACTCCTGCCAACTCAAGCATCTCCATCGCCGCCTCCGGTGCCGGCCTATACCCGGGCTCGAACATGACCAGCCACCAGACGATCTCGCGTAGCTGATCCCATTTCCCTGCAAACTCTGGGTTTGACGTCTGCGGGATGATCATCTTCCACGGCATCGCTGGGAAAGTGGCATACATCTCAAAGGGTGGGGTGGGGAGTTTGGTGGCCGAGGGCCAGGTGGAGGAGTCAGGGGTTCCGAGGGTTTTGAAGACTAGTGGGGGTTAGCTGGGTTGGAATAGGGGTAAGGGATGGTAGGGAAATGTAAATAGATAGACATACTGCTCAAAATAAGACCAAGTTGATTCCCATCCTCATGCGCCCCTCTCGACTCAAATAGCGGTGTATGCGGCTCACGCAGACACTCCGCCATCACGCAACCGGCACCCCACATGTCAAGCTCAGTGCCGTACTTGCGGTCACCAAAGAGTGTTTCTGGGGCACGGTAAGCACCCGTGCCGACGTCGAGGCATTTCTGGTTGTGTGGCTCGTCGGTGGAGAGCTTAGGGTGCCAGGCGGTGCCGAAGTCGGCGATGACGAGGCGATTGGGGGTGAGGAGGAGGTTGGAGGGCTTGATGTCCCGGTGGATGATGTTTTTGTCGTGGAGGTGAGCCAGACCCGCAAATAGGTCGTGGAGGAGAGGGAGGAGTTTTGGGGGGGAGGGGAGAGTGAGGGCGGTGGCGAGGGTGAGGGGGTAGTAGGGGAATGTGAGGATCAGATGGGCATCGGAGTCGTGGAGGGTGGAGATAAGAGGGATGATGTTGGGGTGGGTGAGTGATCTGAGGATGGCGGCTTCACGGCCTGGGTTGTGTGGAGGGGTTGGAGACGAGGTGGTGATGAGTTTCAGGGCGAGTGGAGTGGTGGAATCAGGGTAATGATAGACGGACGAGACTGGGGATGTGGCGATGAGGTGGCAGGGGTAGTAGGTTCCAATGGTAGTGGCGGGCTCTGAAGATGTTGTTGTCGGTGCTGGGGGTATGGGCGGCGAGGTGGGTGAAGTTGATGAAGCTGTATAAGAAAGGGCGAGACAGACGGCTGTGTATGCTTCCTAATATTGTTAGCACGAGGAGACGACAGTGAAATCATACAGGAAGACGATGTGGAGGTTTGAAGAGCAAACAGTGGTGTATGATCCAAAAAGGGGGCCAAGAGCAAAAAAAATCAAAAGAATACTGTAGTGCAACGGATTCGAACCGCTGTCTCCTGGGACTGTGAGATTCAATTAATTGAATTCTCCTTCTTGCGAAGTAGCCAGATGCGTTTACCACTACGCCAGTACCACATTTATTGTTAAGGGGTAATGGCGTAAAGCAGACGAAACCGATACTCTCCCCCCTTTTTGGCTTGATATAGCAGGACAAAGGAGGCAGACACAAGAGAGACAGCAGAACAAGCCTGATGTGACGACATAGCTCCTGAACAACCACTATGGTAGTAATGGCAGTAACAGAAATAGAGATAACACAATAATAACAAAAATCCAGACTTACCAAGGAATGGGAATCCTTATAAGCTTCAGTTTCGGCGGCGAAGGCGGCCTTTTGGGCCTTGGCCTTTGACGGCTCTCCCGCAGCTTCTATTCCCTTTTGGCTGGGCAATGTTAGAATCCTTTTTTACAAAGGGAAAGCACACGTACATGTTTTGGACATTCTCAAAGCGAACTGTGGCAGAAAGACCTGATTTCCAGTCTGTGACGTCGGCCATAGCCAAATATGATACCTCGCTGGCGTTTGACGTGGGAGAGAATACAAGAGGTCTACACCATACTCTATGCGCGCCTGATCTCCTCGTCAATAGTGAGATATTAGAGCTCTAGTTGCTCTTAATTATTATTTCAGTGTCTATCCGATGTCGACCAGATGAGAATTTGAGTTGACGTTCATAGTCGCTACCCGACATTTTTCCGAAGCGACACGACAAGGGTCTCAGTTCGTGGGGTAATTGCCACGGCCGCACGCCAAGAGCGATCGGCCAGTCGATTAAGGACGAGCTTCCATGTTCAACCAGTACACATCATGAGCATCGTTGACTACGGACCCGACTCTCACAACCACATCTGTTATTCTTACTGCCGACAGCCGATACTGTCTTATGGACGCTACCAGACACCTTCAGATCGCAAACTGATCCAAAGACCTCGCAATGGAGGGTCTCGTGCGACAGGAGTATCCTGGAATGCTGGTAAGATTGTTGTCCTTTGACACCGGCTTGCGCGGGACGTAATTGACGTTCTACAGGCGTCGCTGCCACCCTCACAGGCAGTCCACGTCTTCAGTGAGCGCGTAAAGCGTGTGGGAAAGCTCAATGCGGAGATAGCGGACTGGCTCCAGGTATGTTTGTTTGTCGGGTAATTTCACTGCAATGACCTCACTAACGCCCCCTCAGGAGCGCCGGAAGGTCGAGGATTTATATGTACAAGGCCTTAAAAAGCTTGCACGGCGGCCACTGCCAGATACCGCATCCGAATTGGGGTGCGAAACCCTCGAATTGCCGATCGGCGAACTATAGCTGACATGAATGATTTGTAGGATATTCAATGCCCCATGGTCACAGATAGTGGCCTGGGTCGACGAGACTGCGAGCTCGCATGCAATTCTTTCAAAAGGAATAGAGAAAGATGTAGAGCAGGCGCTGCGACAATTCCCCACGAAAAACAAAGAGATGGGATACGTTCTCACTATACAAGGGCATCTGGCACAGATGGCGAAGGAATATGAATCAGCTCAAGATACTGTGGATAAACTGGCAAAGAAGGGCTCGAAGGCCAACCAAGCAAAGACCCAGCAGGCAACACAGAAGCTGAACGCCATAACGTCAGAATGGGAATCGCAGGCCCCGTTTATATTCGAGAAGCTCCAGACGATCGACGAGACTCGCCTCAACCACCTCCGGGACGTGCTCACCCAATTCGAAACCCACGAGATGGACCAGGTTGAAAGGAACAGAGTATCGACAGAGGCAGCTCTTACCTCGCTATTAGAGGTAGACACTGCCGTGGAGATTCATAATTTCGCCACGAATGCTATACAAGGGAAGCCCAAGCTCGAGCGGAGGGCGACTGCTGCTCGCACCGGCTCCACTGTCAGTGCTAGCAGTGCCAACCTAGCACTTCCGCCGCCGAGAATGCCCATTGAAGACAGCTCAAGCTTGCACTCTGCTAGAAATGACGCGTCGTCCGGTAAGTCAATCAACCCATGGGACTGAGTTGAAACTAACGTCTCGTCATAGAACACAAGAAAGAGAGTACGCTAAAGCGATTTGGCACAATAATGAACCGAAGACGGCAAAGCATACACGCGGGATCCTTTGGCCAATCCAGCTCTCCATCCAAAGGCTTTTCTGCCCTTGGCGCACCCCCTCGGAGCAGAGACGGCCGACCAGCACCGTCCCCGCGTGCCTCGTCTAGCAATCTACGTGATAACACGCGGCAGAACAGCAGTCTGGGTGCAGTGGCAGAATCACCAGCAACATCACCCAGAACCTCCAAACTACAGTCACCCACTCAACCCGTTCCCGCCGATGGTGAAAATAGTACCGCCGATACTACGCGTGACACGAATGGAGGCGCAACAGGAGACGGATCTTTAATAGATTCTGCAACCCCTCAGCCGCCACCACAAGTTGATGGCGCCAGCTCTAACGCCGCTCAACTGGATGCAGAAGGATTTACCGTTCCGCCCGCCGCCAACGATGCTATATCCCAGGCCCAGAGAGAAGCAAACAGTGAGAATGATGCGGCACCAGCATTTAAGCTCAACATCGCGCAGCAGGCTATTCAAGAAGAGGATGCAGATGCCCAGGCTGCCTTGTCTAATGTTGCAAATACTCTCCGTACTGCCAACCTACCTGCGCCGTCACGAAAAGTTGGCACTGTGCGAGGACGCCGAGATGTCAGAAATTCGATGTACGTCCCAGGGCCCGAAGTAGCTGTAGCTGAGGCACAACGTAGCCCCGGTGCTGCCAACTTTTCTGCACCTCCGGCCGCATCCCAAGGGATTGGTCGAGCTGCCAATCTAGCAGCATCAGCCAGTGATCTTGGCTCGTCAGCTGATTCGATACGTTCCGCGACATCTGCAGGAGCCGGGCATATTAAGCATCCTGAGATGACTAGGCCGGGTCTCAATTCGTCCATCATTGAGACAGTGAACTTACTTTCTGAGAACGGCGAGATCAAAACCGCTACCACTATAGGCGAAATAGCTTTGTCTTACGTGCACCCGGTATCTGCTAAAGAAATACCAGGTAAGTTATTACAAGCCAAAACACTATTATCGAAGGTAGACTAATAATTAACCAGATACTGCTGCGATCCGGCTCTTCAACTTCGTCGGCCTTGAAGCGATCGCGCCAAACAAGGCATTCCTAAATGAGTCAACTCTGCCTGGCGAATACAGCGTTCAGCTCTCGGAGATCAGACGGACCAACTGCGCCTTTAAATATAAGGTTCACACGGAGCCCTACAACCTTTACGCGCAAGTGCCGCTCCTCATCAAGCCGATATGGAAGTTTACAGGCGAAAAACTCGGCGTCGTAGTCGAATACTCGCTCAACTCGGCATACTCTTCCGAACCGCTGACACTGAGCAACCTCACGCTGATCGTGTCGTACGAAGGCGCAAAGGCGATCAGCGCGCAGACGAGGCCGTCGGGCACACATGTCAAGGAGAAGAATCTGGTTTTCTGGCGCCTGGGTGACGCCCTGCTCGAGCCTGGGGTTACAAAGAAGGTCCTGGGTCGTCTGTTGGGTGACCAGGGGGGACAGGTTTTGCCGGGTGTTGTAGAGGCGAAGTGGGAGATTGCCGTACCTGAGGGAACCGTAGTCGGCAGTGGGATTGGTGTCAGCTGGAAGACCGGCGCGGCGGAAGAAATAGAGGGGAAGGGTAAGAGTCCAGAGAACGCGGAGCCGGATCCATTCGCGGATGAGGACGCGGCGAAGGGCGCCGATAGTGGGGAGGCGAACGGATGGACGAAAATAGAGAGTGTACGAAAGGTTATCAGTGGGAAGTATGATGCTATCACCGGGGCCGACCAGGCATAGTTATCCCGGTGAGGTGGAACTGGGAAGGGTTTGGAGGAGGGGTTATGACGGGGTTTGTTGGCTTTAATAACGGTTTGTGAATGAGGAATTAGGCTGTGATGCGAGGTATAGGGTAGGAGAACCGCCTTTGTGAATCAAGGGATCAGCGGAGGAGTGTAGAAGTAGATACCACAGCACAGCACATGCGCTCGTTTTATATACAGCGATTAGCCTGTTTTTCTTGCGTACAACAGTATATATAACTCCAGCAAGTTTATTCTGTCTTTCGCCTGTAGTCGTGAGGAATTTGCAATAGGCACGGGACTGATCGAGCACAATTACGAATATATAGTTGACCTATATTCATTTTTGAAGCAACCTAATTGTACAGTATATCCAAAACTATTTGCAGGTAATAATCCCCCCCCACCCCTATAAAAACACAACCAGCCTCCATACCGCACCTCTATGTAACGCATGACAAAAAGCTCAACAAAAGAAATTTTTCTGGCTTGTCCGGCAGTTTTGAAAAAGAGCGGTTGGCGGGAATACTACCACAACAAATCCGCTATATGCATCACCGCGCCCGCATCCCCTCCTATTCTATACAATTCGAAAGGAAACTCGTCAAATCGTACTAATCCGCACTCCCTCACTCCGACTACGCGTCCTTATTTGCTGGCTTCTCCTCCTCCTTGGCTGACGATTCCTTCTCCGCAGCCTTCACAGACGCTTCCTTCTCCGCCGCCAGCGCCGCCGCATCAGCGGCCTTCTTCTTGCCCTGCGCGTGCTTATCCATCTTCTCGCTCATATACCTATACGTCCTCACGAACCCCCCCGTCGCGATCCCCTTGAGACTCTGCACCGTGCTCGGCCATCCAATCGTCTTCTTAATAACGCCTCTCACCTCGTTCCTCAGCTCATCCGCCGGTTCCTGCGTGATCCGTCGCTCGAATCCGCCGCCTACGCGGCGCTTGAAGCTGACGGCGTCTTCGTCGGTAGACGCTTCCATCATCTTGTTGAATTCTAGCTGTGGGATCTGGAATTTCTTCTGGAATTGGAAGTACAGCTTTGAGCGGAAGGCTTTGGGGAGGCGGCGCACCATGTTGCCGCGTTTTACGGGGTCCATGTCCTGCTCTAGGCGGGCGTTGGTGTTGGGGTCTGCGGCCCAGTCGGGGCGCGAGCAGGCTGGGTCGTGGAAATTTACGTTGGGGAGGTTCTCGATGAGGGGGGCGTAGAGGCGGCGGAAGTTGGGTAGGTTGTTGCCTACGATGTTGGCGACCTTGCTTGGGTCTTCGGTAGGTAGTGCCATTCTCGGGTCTCCCATGTAGCTGATCCCGGCGATCGTTCCGTACAGCTCCCTCTCGGTAAAGGAGGGCGGGAGGAGAAGGAGGGAGGTTCGTAGAGCAGAAAGCAAGTTGATCTGGTTGGCGAGGCGGACTCGTGGGTCATCCCGCAAGATCTTCACGGGCTTGTGGAGGCGGCCTGCGATGTAGAGAGTGGACCATTCGGAGAGATCGGTGCATAGCGTGTCTAGGTTGACAACGCCGTACTTGATAAGCATGCCATTGACATTGACATAAGGGTTGAAATAGACGCCAGCACCAAACTTGTCCTGCACAGAACTGACAGCCCCCGAGCCGAGAGAGCCAAGCCCAGAGTAATGGTCGCGGTGCTGGTTAAGGTTCAGAGAGTGCCAATGTTCCGTATATGAAACACCGAATATGAAATCAATCATCTTTGGCTGGCCATCTTGAGCCTTGGCTATCGCGGAAGGTGCATTTGGATGTATAGATGTTCGGCTCGAAGGTGTTGACGATGGGGCTGAAGGTTTCGACTGGGGGAACACCCCGGATCCATAAGCAAACGCATATCGAATCGGTGCTCTAAACTGCCACAAGACCTGGCGCAATGCCTCCTTAACCTCATCATTGATCAGCATGTGCTGGTTGACGCCAAAGTTCGTGTGCGGGAGCTGCGAGAAGTCCGATATGCTGAAGTCTGGGTTATCTTCCCAATCCACCTTGGTGCCCTCAGGAGTCGAGGACTTCGAGCTTGTAGTTGTTTGAGAGCTTTGACTGGTTGAGCTTGGCTTTGATGTCTCCGATGATGTAGATTTCGAGCAAGCTTCACTCCCTGTTGCGTCCCGGCCAGCTTCTCCAAAGCTTCGTGATGACGAGAAGCTCCGTATGGCGGTCTGGTGGCGGTAAAGAGCTTCATAGCGACGATTCGAGGTAAATGCAGACGTCTGCATCCGCCGGGTTACCCCATAATGCCCAATCGACTAAACAGAGTCAGCCGTCGTTCAACAATTGCTTGCAAATAGCTTTCTAGGCCGGACAACTCACCCGGAGCTTCGGTAGCGACATGGCGATGGAGGTAAACTTGAAGGGGGCAGGTAGGAGTAGAGGGTGGTTGGCAGCGGTGCCGCAATTTCAATTCACCTCCGTTGGCTGTCCATTTACTGAGACCGTGAACTTTGCATTCTGACGTCAATTTGAGGGGTCTGGGAAGTGGAGTTCTGTTTTCCGTGATGCTCTGACGGATTGCTTTAATTAAGTTAACTTATGGATAAGGAACTGCTTACATAAGCGAAGACGGCATGCTGTTTGCGAACGCGTCTCAGGCGGTCAAGGAAAGGCGAGGAGCAATCACAGAGCTCCGAATGAGAGAGGAATCACAAGAAAAGAATGCATCTATTTATAAAAATGAAGGCATGCTTCAATTTCTTATTTCTTTACTATATTGAAGATTGTGAGTTCTTGTTACAGTCCGTCCCACTATATTGTTCCAGAGCCTCGGCTCGGGTAACGCTGACCATGATGCCTCGTGCCCCTATATCCAAAAAAATAGGAGTCAAAAGTCCATCTTCCAACTTTCCTCATCCCTCTATAGACCAAGACCCAACGCTCCCGCACAGCATCCCCATCTCCCCCATCTACTCCTCCTTATAAACCAACCTAACCACCATCTCCGCAATCGCCAAACTGCTCGTCAATCCCGGACTCTCAATCCCCAACAAATTCACAAAAGCCTCGCATCCCTCCTCCCTCCTAACCACAAAATCCTGAAACCCCTCCTCCATCCCCCCCAACTTCGCCCTCATCCCCGCATAATCCCCCCTCAACCTCCCCTCCTCAATCCCCGGCACAAACTCCCTGATCGCCTTCACCGCCCCCGGTTTCCGCCCTTCCTCAACATCTAAATCATCCGCCGAGGAAACCCACTCCACGTCCGGCCCGAACCGCGCTTGTCCCACCATGTCGAGCGTAAGATGTGTTCCCAGCCCCGCAAGATCAGGTTCCGGCGCTGGATAAATCAACCTACTCGCCGGTGCCGCGCCAGAATACGAGAAATAGCTCCCCTTCGCGTAGTGCGCCTTCCTGTGCCTCTCACGCGGCAAAACCATGTTATTAACCTCACACGCTCCCAGACCAGCGGCATTAACAAGCGTAGCAGCAGTAATAGTAGATTCCTCCCCCGCCGCGGCGTCGAGGGTGGTGAGTTTCCAACCCGCGCTGTCGGGGAGGGCGCGGATGGACGTGAGAGAGGTGTTTAGTGCTATATCCCCGCCGGCGGAGGAGAGGGCGCCGAGGAGGGCCTGGATGTAAGTATGTGAGTCTATTATGCCTGTGGTGGGGGACTCGAGGATGCCAGTGCGGGCGCGGATGAGGGGTTCGAGGGCGCTGGCTTTGGGGAGGGGGATAAAGGAGGTGGGGACGTTTAGGTCGTTTGAGAGGGCGTGGATTTGTTGGAGTTTCTAGGAGGGGTTAGTGGGTGTGCAGGAGGGGAGAGGGGGGCGTACTTCGAGTTGCTGCGGCGTCTGGGCTACTATCCACTTCCCGCACTTCTTGTGTGGGATGTTCCAGCGCTCGCAGAGGTCATATAGGCGCTCCCGGCCCTCGATACAGAGTTTCGTCTTCAAGCTATCTTTCCCATAATATAACCCCGCATGTATGACCTACTCCACATCAGCCCGCACCCTCCGTCTTCGCTCTCCGAGCCAGCCCCCCCCCCCCCCCCTCAGGGACAACTCACCTCCGAATTCCGACTACTGCTCTCCCTACCCACATTTTCATGCCGCTCAATCACCAAGGTTTCCCCACCCGCCCGCTCCGCTAACCTCCTCGCAACAGCGAGGCCCACGACACCACCCCCGATAACCTAGTCAACATATCAGCCCTATACCCCATTACCCTTCCCATCCTCCGTATCAGCCGCCCAATGCCTCAGGTCACAGCTCACGGGCCGAGAGTCTGCTCACCGCATGCGTGAAATCCAGCCTGCGCGACGCGGCGGCGACGCTGGTGCGCAGTGAAGGTGTGAGCTTCATGGCGCTGCGATGGTGGACAAGTCAGATAGTTACGTTGGGGGTTTCAATCGCTGATATTGGAGCTCCGGGAGCTGGAGTTGGGATGGACCCCGCGGCACGCAAGGCTGTGGGCTGTATGGGTTGGTGTAGCGCGAGGCTGAGGGTCCACCCCTTCCCATCCCAGGGTATGAGAAGCACCACATCAGTAGTCGTAAAATACATGCATGTATGGAGGATTCAAAGGCAGAGAGACGGCACAGGTTTTTCCATAATAATATTAATAATAATACTGTATTCCCAAGTCAAAGTAGCGAGTGCGCCCAACCCTACAATTACACTTCCGCATCTTCCCCCGTCTAGTCCCAGCCCATATCCTTCCCCCAAACTCAAAACCAAACGCCAGCAGTATCCCCAACTGATGTTCCTACAAGCACAAAAAACCAAGCAAGCCTCCCCTTCCCAACCCAGCAGCGTCAAATTTGAAATCGAAAGCGCCCGCTTACTCGGTCTTCTCTTCCGTCTGCTGAGGTCGCGGGGTAACATCCGCCTCGCTCCGCTCAACCAGCAGATTGGATGGCAAGCTAGGCTCGCGCGTCAGTGTCGAGTGGGCGCTGGTTTCGGCTACCTGCCTCTCTGCGTTTCATTAGCTCGTATTCGCAACACCCCCATGCAATGCACCACGTCCCCCTCCACCTCCCAAGGAAGGCAGAAGAAAGGGGGGGGGAAGAAGAAAACTCACCCAACTCCCTAATCCTCAACCTAAGCATCTGATTCTCCCTAACAAGCATATGCGTCTCCGCCTGATAAAACGCACTCTCATCCCTCCCCAACCCCTCCTCCGCCAACCCCGCCGTCGACCCCTGTCTCGGACTCGCATGGCGACTCGGTGTCCTCGATCTTTCTCTCCTCTGCAAATCCGCGCGCGCGAGATCAAACGAGCTGCGCGGGTGCTGGCCCACGCCCGCGCTCATCGAATAAGTTGGGGAGCGCGGGATGGACAGAGGGGTGGCGAGGGCGGAGGAGGAGGTGGTGCCGGTTGTGGTTACGGGCTCGGAGGGGAAGAAGTCGTCGGTTGCGGAGGTGGTGGGGGAGAGGCTGGAGGTGGCGCGGAGGGATTGGAGTTGGTGTTGTTGGACGCGGATCATTTGGAGGAGGCGGTTCTGTGGGTTGTCACGTTAGCCTTCATCCCCTCTATCCTTTCTTCACGTTCTCTCCCCAAGCTCAACCACCACCACCATCCACCATCACCATCACCATCACCACGGGATACTCACAACCTGCGCCTCTTGCTCTTGTTCCAACTCCTGATGAATCTCCCCCAAACTCGGATTCCTCAAATGATGCGGATCCCCCACCCCAACCCCCCCCGCAGCCCCAAGCCTCGGCGACGCCTCCAACCCCGTCTGCGCATGCGGCTCGTGCACCATCTCGCCCGGCGCCGGCACGCTCGGGTTGTTGTGCGCGAGGTTCATGAGGACTGTTGAGCGGCGGCGGCTGGTGTGGCGTGATGAGGAGATGGAGGAGCCTGCGGTGTTCGTTAGCGCTCCAGTTCTCGAAGTGGTCTCTAATCAGTCTCCCAGCCCAGAGAAGGGGGGGCAAATGAGAGGGAGGGGGGACGTACGTCGGGAGTCCTCCTGCGCTAACCCGGCATTCACGGCCGCAGTAGCCTGCAACGACGTCGTGGCCGCGGACACTGATCCCGCGCGCGGGGAGGGAGGCGCATCTTGTGCTGTAGCGGTGTTATCTGATGGCGATCCCGAGTTCGCGGGCACAGGCGTGGTGTCTGAGTTGGACCCCGCGGGTGGCGGGGAGGTGCGGCCTGGTGGTGCCATTGTGTGGGCTGTTGTTGTAGGTTGGTAGGTGGGTATGTGTGATCTTGCGTTCTTGCTTGGCAATGGTGATAATACCGGTACTGTCGTTCGGACAGAGGTCATGCAGAGTGAATGAATAGCTTCCTTATCCTTTGTTCTGTCCTCAACCTAGTGGTGGTGATGCGTGGGCTGTTTCCGAGTCGCACAGCAGGGCGTCACCTGCGTCAGATCGGTAGCTTAGGACCTGGGTGGCGATCGGGAAAATGTTGTTCCAGCTCAGCTTGTCGTTGGCCCGTACTACCAGCCAAGCGCCACTGACAATCTTCTACGGCAATAATAAAACGTTGGCCATTACCATTAACTTGCCATCACCGAGTCGGCAAACTCTCTTACCCATCTTCAGCCCGGCGAGACCGGTTCCAATTGTGCCAGCACAGGCAAGTCCCCGCGTGGAAAGCAGACTAGGGGTTGGACCAAAGCCGAAGCACCTGCCTAACATACTGTATATACTCCGTATACCCCTTTTCTCTCATTCAGCCCGCTCCCAGCCTCCTCCCCCACAACTTCAGCCGTACTATTCTCGTAAAACAATATCACCCTAGGACCTCATACTCTCCTCCCTCCCTCCTCCCCTCTACCCATCTTAACACGAGCCGGGCCAGCTGTGCCGTGCTAATCCACTTATCAAACAGCTCCAATCCACAGCTAGGAAGTTCAAGAGTTATAGTTGGACACTTTCAACACCATACGCGCGTACTTTTCTGTACCCTATAGGAGGGGGCGATCTTTATATAGATAGACCATAGGGATACCTCACAAACTTGGCTCCCTTGGCTCCACTTCAACACCCCCTTAGCACATAAACCGCCCTACCACCCTCCCCCAACGTCACTTTGGACTTTTATCCCTTCTCGCGTACGATTTGTACTACCCAAGTTCAACCTTCAACCTCCCAGTCCTTTCCTCTCCACCACCACCACATCCTCCTCATACCGAATCCACCAATCCACCAATCCACCAATCCACCAATCCACCAAAACAAACAAACCAAAACTTCCCACCACAATGGCAGATCAATACCACCAACAACAACCCTACGGCGCCCCTCAACCCGGCTTCACCGGACCCCCCCAGCCCGGCTACGGCGCTCCACCACAGCAGGGCGGGTATTATCCTCAGGCGCCTCCACAGCAGGTATGCTATCACGCAGCGTCCTTTCCCAGCCCATCAGCTCTTGCGGCTCCCCGTCCCCCCCATGCTAGCAGCACAACCAGCGAAGGGCCCGAAGGGAACGGAATGAAAGCCGGATGGGGAGAAAACAGTAGCTAATAGGGTGAATAGATGCAATACCAACAAACCCCTCCCCCCAAGGAGAAGAAGAAGGACCGCGGCTGCCTTTACGGCTGGTGAGTCCCCCTTCCGATGTCATCCTCGCATGCATTGCTGATTATATGTCTGCTACAGTATCGCAACCTTGTGCTGCTGCTGGCTCTGCGGAGAGACTTGCGAGTGCTGTCTTGAGTGTCTGACATGCTGCTTCTAGGCGTAGCTGGGAGCTACCTGCACGGGAGGGGGGTTAGGAATGCCTGGGCAGCTGAGGACGGGGATGGGCGGGGGTGGATGGATGACGGGGAATGGGGAGGGAGCAGAAGGGATTGGGGGGGAGGTATAATACCCATGGCCATGGTTTTCCGTAATAATTCAAACCCCTCATCGTCGCTGTTGGGGTGATGGGGTGGTATGATTTTCTCGAGAAGCCCCAAGGAGAGAGAGAAGGAAATGAAAACACATTTCTCGACTTCGATTACAGTGCAATGCAGTATAGAAGCCGCGATATTAATCATGAATTCACCAGACTTTCTATTGGCTCACCACCTCCCTCACGTAGACATTCTGGAATATATTAAGTCCTTCTATCATATTTGCACGTAGCACCTAGATATATCAGCTTCCCTCCAGCTCTGGGACAATTAAATTCTGCACAACCCCCCCCCTCCCAAAAAAAAGACATTAGGAATAAAATAAAATACATACATCATGATCCATTTTAAATTTTTATATATATTCCTTCAATTTTTTTTAAAAAAAACATACCCTCCCTATATATACCCTCCCCGCCTTCCCTCCCCCGTCCCCCTTCCCCCTTTTCCCTTCAAAACCCCCCAATTTCGGTAGGTTATCGAGAATAAAATATGCACAACAGAAAAAGGTATATCCATAAAAAAACCGAACTGTTGATCCCAAAAAAGGTTGATACCCAAAAAAAAAAAAAGGTTGACCCCAGAAAAAGAAGGAATTGCGCGCAAATAAGTTGGGTATATGCGCCTGTCATACACCACTCCCCCCTCTTTTCCCAAACCATCCTACCAATCCCATCCCATCCAACCCATCGAGACCCAAAACATAAAATCATAGTAATCCCATCACCCCATCATCCCCCTACCCCCCCCGCATTCGACATCCCCCTCGCCCCCCCACGCGGAACAGGCGGCAACCCCCTCGTAGGCGGCGGCGCAAGCGGTGGCCCAACCACCGCCTCCGCCGCCCTCCTACTCTTCGGCCTGCCCCCTCCCGTTGTCGAAAAAGAAGGTGATTTCAACAGCGGCGCTGATCTCTCGCCATAAGAGTTACTAATCGACGCGCCACGCTCGCGGATAACCATGCGATCCACAGCCTTCACGACGCGGCCGGTACTCACGACTCCTGCGAGGCCGCCGTAGGTGCCGTATCCGCCGCCTCCACCAGCGCCGTAAGTTGCAAACACACCCCCACCCCCACCCCCACCCCACCACCACCACCCCCCGCACCCCCGGCTTCGGCAGCAAGAGCGATGAACCCCCTACTCCCCAACGGTTTCGGCGGGACGCGGCGTTCACGCATGACGACTATTGAGTCACGCTTCTCCCTCCCATCACCCCCTCCCCCTCCTCCACCACCACCGCGGGCGATGGACATCCTCTTCCCACCCTCCCCTACTCGACCGATTGAGGTGCGTCGCTCTCTTCCGGCACCAATACCGAGACCCAAACCGGCGCCGGGTGCGCCATTAATAGAAGCCCTCTTGTCCCTCGCCGCCTGCGCCTTCGCATTCGCCCGCGCCGTATGCGGTGCAATAATCGGTGACAGAGATGGGTCGGAGAATGACGGGCCCTCGTTGGAAGCGGGTGTGGAGGAGGAGGAAGGCGGGAAGGGGTAAGAAAACATCGGTAACGGCGGCGGCGCCCCAGGACCCCCCGCCGCGTGCTCAGAGTGAGCGAGCTCAGCGATACCGAGTGAGGGGGACGTAGGTGTATGCGTCCTCGGCGGCGGGCTCAACCTCGACGTCCAATAATGAAACTGAAACTCATCATCCGACTCCCCCTCCCCCTCCGTCGGACTCGAACCCAGCCCTTGGGATGTTGGTAGCGACGCACCCCCACCCACCGCGCCCCGCGCAGCAGGCAGACTACTCGTCCTCCTCCCCGACCTCGGCGGGGGAATCGGAATAGCAGCCCCCCTCTGCATCTGTCTCCTCGCCCTCGACCTCGGGCTAAGCGCTGGAGCGGAGATTTCATCCATTAACTCATCTGAGAGCATTGCTGGTAAAGGTTGATCTTCTACGATTGAGAGACGGGTTTTTAATGCCGTGGGGGGTGTGTGGCGTTCTGGGCGGCGGGGGGGCTGCTGGGAGCAGTCGGTTGGTGGTGGTGGGGAAAGAGGGGTTGTTGTTGTGGTGGGTGCGATTATGGCGTCTAGCACCGGCGGATGGGCGCCTTGAGCGCTTTGGCGGCGTTCGCGGATGTCGGCTGCGTTGAGGTGTTGTTGTTGGTGTTGGTGCTGGTGCTGGTTGTTGCCGAATTCACCGAATCCGTAACGGTCTTCTTCGTCCTCGGCGGTGAGGGCGGGGGGGAAGGATTCGTAAATCGGCGATCGGGTAGGTGACGAGTGGCGCGAAGCGGAGGGGGAGGTGAAGAATGTGCGTCCCCCCGAGGAGCGGGGTTGGCTGTACGTATTACTATCCCGTAGCGAATCGAGGAGGTGTTCTTCGATTGAGTTCGCGCTTGCAACCGAGGAGAGGGTGTTCGTAGCGCGGCTGGGCTGCGGTGTTGCGTCGTCAGCGGGCCAGGGGGGAAGGTTGGCCGTGCGCTCATCGGTTTCCCAGGGGAGGGGGTCGTTGTTATCGTTGGGGTCGTTGTTATCGTTGGGGTCGTTGTTATCGTTGGGGTCGTTGTTATCGTGGGTGTCATTGTTATCGTTGGTGTCGTCCGAGTGCGGGGAGTAAAGGGGCTCGTTGTTTGGGGAGGGGATGGGGAAGGCGTTTGTTGTCTCGGCGAGGGGGCTGCGCGATAACTCCGGGTTGTTGTTTGCACGAGTTTCGCTGGTTGCTTCCCCCCCCAAGACGTTGATCTCGTGGCGCACGGCGGTGAGCCAGGTGTCGAGATCTTCGCCGTTGTCCATGATGAGAAGGAACTGCTTGATGGGCTTGATGTATGTCGAGTTAGACCCCGGGCGTTGCTGCGCAGGCGGCGCGGGAGTAGCTGATAGCTCGCCCGGCGTAACTGCGGCGAGCCCGTCGTAGACGGTGGTGATTTGGATAACCCAGTGCTCGCCCGGGATCACATCACTCGCAAACGCCACCGAGTGCCTACTAAGCCGAATCGACTGCTCCGGCAGCCTATTAAACGCCCCATCACACGAGAACTGCAACAAGTACCCCGCCGACGTCAACACAAAGATCTTGCGACTCCACTCCCCCTTCCCCAGCGTCTCGACAACACGCTGCCGATGCTTCTCCTTCGCCTTATCCGCCTTCGCCGGATCCGACCCAAAGCCCACGGCAGCCACATTCCTCCCGCCCTTATCGTGCGTGCTCAGGTAGATCACCGCATTCGCAGTAACCCCGCACGTCATCAGCGAGCCATGCTTCACCGCCCCCGACAACACCTTGAAGAAAGGCGGCGGCTCCCACTGCGCCGGCGGCGGCGGCGCGCTCGTCGGCGGCCTCTCGAGACTGCGCTTCGGCATCGCAGCCAGGAAGCTGTCGCGCTTCCTCGTCACAGGCTTCTCCTCGCTCTGCAGATACAGACGGCCGGCTTTGAGGACGAGCAGGGCTTTCGTGGCGAAGACCCGGGCGAGCCTCTCGCTCATCTGCGGCGGGTGGGCGCCGGTGGGTGAATCGATGAAGGACGCTCCATCCGACACGCTGGAGCCGCCATTCGTGCTGGTGCGCGATATGGAGATATCATCACTCAATTCGGTGGGCGTGAGCTCGACGCGGTGGCGCGGGCGGTCGGCGCTGATCTCCGGGATGGGCGGCGGGGAGTATGTCTGCTTCTTGGAGGAGGAGGAGGAAGACTTGCCGAACATGTTGCGTAGAGAGTTGGACTGGCGCCACTCGGATCTGCTGCTGCCGGAGCGCGAGGAGTCGACGCGCGTGAGGCTGGCGGCGTCGCTGCCGGATGGGCGAGGGGAGGAGGGCGGGGGTTTGGGCTGCCGGAAGACGCCGTGCCAGTCGCCCATGGGCACGGTGGTCGGCGCGAAGATGACGGCCATGATTCCCTCAATCTCGTCGTGAGCTCTCTCGGTTCCGTCGCAACAGGGAGGTCAGGAAATCGGATCTGTTCGATTTCTGGAATCGGGGGTGGGGTGTCCACACGTGGATATAGGTGGGATGTAGGGAGTATACTGCTGGACTGTACTGTTGTAGGTGGCGAAATCGGCGGCGTTCTGGTTGAGGCCTCCGGCTTCGCATTGATAGGACGGGACGGTTGCAAGGATGGACAATGCTGCTCACAAGAGACAGGAGTGGGACAGCCTCGGCATTATTGGGGATGTCGAGCTCGTGAAGGAATGCGGCCAGCGTTGGAAGGTAGGAACGACAAAGGCGTGCGTGGCGTGGGATGGACGCACGCAGCAGCACCGGGGCATATCACGAACCAGACGGGCCAGAGACACAGATTGAAGATTGACCTTTCTGTGGGGATATCGTGGGGAAACGCAGGGCCGCAGGAAGAAATAAATGGTTTCCGTAGTTTCCGTAGTTCCGTGATCCGTAGTTGCGTATTCTGTAGTTCTGTACGGAGTAGTTCCCTAGTTTCCCCAGTTCCCTAGTTTCCCCAGTTTCCTAGTTTCGTTTCCCTAGTTTCGTTTCCCTAGTTTCGTTTCCCTAGTTTCGTTTCCCTAGTTTCGTTTCCCTAGTTTCGTTTCCCTAGTTTCGTTTCCCTAGTTTCGTTTCCCTAGTTTTCCCCTACCTGACCCTAGTCTTCTGGTGGACTAGGACGCTAAATGCGGGTTGGATTGTGCAGTTTGTAGTAGGTAGTTTATAGTAGTAGGTAGTTAGTAGTAGTAGGTAGTTTGTAGTAGTAGGTAGTTTATAGTAGTAGTTTGTTGTTGGTGTGTTGTTGTTGGTTGTGTGCATGGGTTTGTGGGAATGCGAGTGGTTGGTTTGTGGAGGGGGTGGAGGGGGGGTGGAGGGGTGGAGGGGGGGAGGGGGTGGAATGGTTGGTTTGTGGAGGGGGTGTAGTAGGGGTGGAGGGGGGAGGGGAGGAGGGTGGAGGGGTGGAGGGGGGCTGAGAGAGGGGTGGGTCAGCCAATAGTGTAAATTGGAATGTTCACATGCCCGTAATAGCCGATAAACGAGGTTATACGCCCACACACCCCCACACCACCCACGGCTGTACTACATTACCACCCTCCCCTCCCACCAAACCGAAGCATGCGCAACAAGCAAAGCCCACCGGCTCGACGGGAGGAGGGAAAGGCTGGCTGGCTGGCTGCCTGCCTGCCTACGATAGACACAAGGCGATGGGGTAATATCTTAACACCTCCCCCAGCTTAGTGCTCACTCAGCTCCTTACCTCGATCAGGTTAGACGGTTTTGGCAATCTGACCAGTCGGCTTGACCAATGCCTGAAAAAGGAAGGTGCCCAGCCACTATATGGCAGCCTAGGCTTCGTTGGTGATAGTACTTGTACACCCCCAGTACTCGAGTAGCTACTATTACCTAGGCCTGAAGTAGTAATATAAGAATACGGTACTCCCCCCTCCCCACCCTTCCTTCACTCTCCACAAGGCCCTAGGCTATCCCTGAATACCACCACCACCACCACCACCACCACCACCACCACCACCACGACAAAGTGCACGCGTGGCACCTTTCCTCTCTCACATGCCCCATCACCTACCTACTTTCTCTATATGAGAATTCATATAGACCCCCCCCCCATCTCCAACTTCCTGTCAATGGAAAATCCTGCTACAGATCGAAGATCCCGCCTCCCCCACCACTTGATTGAGGAAAGAAGGAGGTGGGCGGAGTACATGTGCCGCTGGATGACGGGGGAGTGATGTGGGGAGAGTAATGTGGGGAGAGTACTGTGGGGAGAGTGCTGTGGGGAGAGTGCCCTGGAGAGAGTACTGTGGGGAGAGTGCCCTGGAGAGAGTGCCCTGGAGAGAGTGCTCTGGAGAGTGCCCTGGAGAGAGTGCCCTGGAGAGAGTGCTCTGGAGAGTGCCCTGGAGAGAGTGCCCGAGAGTGCCCTGGAGAGTGCCATGGAGAGTGCCGTGGAGATGCAGGGCTGACGTGAGCTGTTTGTGACATGAGCTGTTTGTGACATGAGCTGTTTGTGACATGAGCTGTTTGTGACGTGGGACAGAAAAGCGACAGACCGAACATGGTGCGCGCGCCCTGACAGTGCTGTTGTGGGGACGGAGGGTTGGGGATGGTAGGGCTGACGTGAGCTGTTTGTGACGTGGGACAGAAAGGCGACACCGTCTTCCAAACGCATCGTGCTTGCCAGAGGGGGAAGTGCATTGTCCATGTGTATCATGTGGGTAGTGTTGACTACTACTTGTCTCCTTTCTTTGTGGATAGGAAGGAGGTGGAGGTGGGTGAAGATGTGTCTTCACACAGATAATGATCCAGACTCGCACCCACCACACATCTCCAACCTAACTATAATACCCCGACCCCTCCAACCTCCCCAGCAACCCCCCCACCACATCCTCCCTCCCCACCTCCTCGAGGTCAAACAATCCTCCTCCCTCTCCATATCCACCCCCCTCTCCTCTCAAAACTCCTCTCTTCTCTTCCATCCCGCGACAAATGCCTATGAACACCTTGACTTTACTCCTAAAGAGTTTGTAGAGGTCTCCTACCCCATTCCCCTCATCACCAGCACGGCTCGCACCAGCAGCCCACCCCCCAAACCCCAAAACACACCCAAGAACCCCCTCCAACACGCCTCTCACCACTGATTGTCTACCCCTAAGGAAGAGAACACCCATCATACGCTCTAGTACGCGTTCGTGGTATCGACGTAGTCCCTCCACCCCCTCCCCAGCCGCGAGCCCAACGCCACCAGGCTGAAGACACTCCTCAACCTCCCTCATCTTCGCCTCCATCACCCCCCACGCCGCCGTAACGCCAGATTCGAAGTGCGAGCAGATCGCGTTGACAACATGTTGCGCTTCGTTCCTAAACCTCGCCGCACACCTCCCGCTCCTCCCCTTCCAGGTTTTGGAAGCACGAAACAACTCCCCCATCACAAACCGAACCCTCAAACACCGCAATAGAGCGCCGAAGGCACGGTCATACATGTGCAAACTCTCCGGCGTGATAACCGCATCCAGCGGGGCGGGGGGTTTGTAGACTAACCTCAGGAAATCGAGGGCGGAGAGCGAGGAGGGGTCGAGACAGGCTCCGATCTCGGCGGAGGTCATGTGGCGGACGCCGAAGGAGAGGTCGCCTGGTAGCATAGTCGGTGCGGTGTACGTCCCCACCCTTCCACCTATCTCAAATGCTGGTGAGGAGGAGGATGTAGATGGCCTTGAAGGCGCGCGGGGCGTAGTGGCGGCGTAACTTTCGCTCAGGACACCGGAGAGAACGAGGCGTAACTCTGAACCACCTGGTGGCCAACTCGCCTCCCCCCCGCACCCCCCTCCCCACCTTCCCCTCCCGCCGAGACGTAACCCCATAACCCCCTCCCTCACCACCCCGCGCTGCCTCTCCGCAGTCCCCAGATCGGGATCGAACAGCGCGTGCGCGAGACGGGACGCGAATACCCCAGAGCCGAGGAGGGAGAAGGAGCGGTGCAGGGAGAGGTGGGTAGAGAGGTTGGAGCGGAGGAGGAGGGAGAGGGTGGCGTGGGAGAGGTGGGTGGAGAGGGGGGTTAGGAGGGGAGAGAGCGAGAGGTGGGGGGTTAGGGGGAGGGGGAGGGGGAGGGGTGTGAGGGCGGAAATTGATGAGGTGGGAGCGGTGGTGAGGTGGGTTGTGAGGAGGTTGGTGAGGGTTGAAGTCGGGGTGAGAGGTGGGGTGGTTAGGGTGTTGAGGGAGGCGAGGAGGTGGGCTTGCATTTCCTCAGCGGGTTTGCCGAAGAGGTTGAGTTCTTCCTTTTCCTCTGCTGGTGGTGCGAGGCATGGCGGCGAGGTCGTAGTGCCAGATGTCGAGTATTTCTCTATCGCAGCAGTGAGGTCCTTTTCATACTGCCTAGCCCTCTCCCCAATCGCCTCGATATTCCGCCACGAGAACTCCCACTCCAACACCGGCTTCGCAGCGGCGGTGGTGACGAAATCCCCCCTCGCCAACGGATGTTCAGGCTGATGCTCCCTCAACAATCTCAGACTCCTCCCCGCCTCGAATAAGATCTGCATATCCCCCTCCGGCATAAACGACGGGACCCTCGCCTCATCAAGCACGAAGTCAGGAGTCCGGATCTCCATCCCCTGCTCATCGATCCAGAGCCTATCCTCCGCCTTCACAAAGCTCTTCCCCACGCTCCCCTTGACGAGGGGCATACCTGTCTCGCGCTGGATACCGAGCCATTCCCCCGCAAAGTCTAAGAACGGGCGGGAGACGCGGGAAAGCACTTCGAGGAGGATAGTCTGTGTGGAGTCTGTCCTGTGCTCGGTCTGTTCAATGAATTGAAGGAGGTTGGAGAGCATTACTTCGTCATTCTGGGCGGATCCAGCGGCGACGATTAGCTCGTGGAAGATGGTGAGGAGGTGGGAGACGGGCCGGAAGAGGGATTGTAGTTTGAGGATGCTTTGGAGGGAGGAGGCGGGGATGTTGAGGTGCGATTGGAGGGTTGAGAGGACGGTTCCTATGGCGTCGGCCAGGGCGATGCGGCCGGGTGAGCGGTGTTTGAGGTAGGCTTTGTCGGTGAAGGAGCGCAGGGCTTTGGTGGTATTGCCGCAGCGGAGGAAGAGCGCTGTGACGTCGTGGGTGAGCTCGGTGCTGCAGCCGGATGTACGGACGGATTTCAGTGTGCATTCAAACTCTTTTGTCTCTTCGTTCCAAGTAAATAGCACTGAGTCCCTGCCCAGGCCTAATGCCAGTAGCGACGATGCGTATGTCGAACCGCTGACAACAACTGCATCTTGGTTGTCGATTTGGAGGGGGCTTGTGTCGTCGGCGACTGCGGCGTCGAATAGTTGCGGTCCTCCTTCCGAGACGTAGCAAGTTTGTGGTGCCTCCTCCCTTTGCTCGTCAAATGCGTCCCATGTGAGATAATTTGCGCTCTTCAGCTCCTCCTCGGGCGCAAAGGACCATATATCAACATATCCGTCATCGGCTTCATTGTTTATTTCCTCGCCCCTTTCACTCAAAGGCGGCGGCGTGCTGGTGGAGATGATTGAAGGCTCTGGGTTTTCGAAGGGAAAATCGGCTAAGGCAAAGAAGTTGCCTCCTCCATGGCTGAGGCTCTGTTCCGGTAGTTTCTCACTGATATCTATGCATCATTAGCATGGACAACGAAGTCGGTTGTTCAAGCGCTATTACCGTCGACTTTAAGTTGCGAGAACAGGAAACTGTACGAGTCCCCGGACTCTGGAAAATATTTCGACGATGCCCATAGATCTGGGATCGCAAAGGCGTTCCCCGGATCGTCGCCGTCCTTCATTTTGTATTTATGTTGACTCTAATGCTTCACTTTCATTCGGTGGACGCGTCTCGTCACGACAAGTGATGCAGCAGCGGTTGTTCCCGGCGCTAGTGTCGGCCTTGCATGGTGAAGCCCAAGGCTGAAGGCGCAACAGTCAGAAAACCCAAACAGATTTCCATCAGACCCTCGATCTACAACACCAATTCCTGAAGCACAAACAATTCTTTGCGCTCTGTATATTCATCCTACAGCTAGCGACACCGGTCAATTCTGGCTGATCCTCAAAATGCCGCCACGAAAGAAGACTAGGGGTGGTGGGCGCATGGCGTCAACTCCTGGCCATGATGAGGGGGATTCCATGGCTGTCGACACACCAGAAGAGCAGGAATCGCCTGACAAGCCAGCATATGATCCATTACAAGACCCATGGACCGATGAGCAGGAGACCTCACTATATAAAGGCATAATCAGGTGGAAGCCAGCAGGTAAGACCCCTACTTCTTTCACGTGGGAAATGGGCAACAACTAAGTGGTCTCGAGGCATGCACAAACACTTTCGCATGATCGCGCTATCAGAATACCTCCGAAATCACGGATACAAGGCAGACGTGCACACGAGGATACCTGGAATATGGGAGAAGTTGGGCCGATTATACAACCTGGAGCTCATCGATGAGCGCGAGAACACGCTAGACTTCGCCGAGGACGAAACCGGAGAGGACAAATTCCTGGAATTCTCCTTACCAGAAGACGAATTCGGTGGGATGATGTGGGCTCGAGGCCAAGTGTCCAGCGAGGCGCTTTCCTCTCCGCCCCAGATAAATGCGCCGCCAGATCTCCCGCCGCCCAAGAAGCGCAGGCGCGGCGAAGCGGCCTCAAACCGAGCCAGCACTGTCGAGGATACGGATGATGCGCAGACATCGCCGCCGCCGCCCTCCTCGGCGACTCGGCCTGGTCGTGGCCGAGGCGGACGACGTGGTCGCGGGCGAGGGGTTGGACGGGGCAGGGAGTCGAGTGAGAGGCAGGCGAGCAAGGAGACAACAGCTGAGCCTACGGACCAGGAAGAGGTCGAGGAGACGGGGGATGATGGAGATGAAGACGAGGCGGAAACAGCGGAAGAGACCGCTGAGGACGGGAGTCCTTCTCCGCAACCTGACAGCACAAGAGGTCGGGGTAAGGGAGGCAGGGGAGGCGGCAGAGGGCAAGGCAAGAATCGGCGTGGAAGGAAGCGGGCTAAGTAACCTAGGTGGTACTTGTTTATACGCTGTATATCTACTCAAAATGTTCATACAATTTATGAGGTTGAGAACTTGAAGCTGTATATACTGCCTTCGCTATATCACGATTGACGGCGCCGGAATAACCAAAACTCCGAGGCGGCTGCACCCGGCTGTTATCATGTATGTGGATGTATCTTTCCTTACACGTGGCCGTGTGTTGATGATTAAAATTCACAGTATGATTGCCTCAAGGATGGTCGATTTGGTGATTCCGAAGATGCCGTACTATAAGTGTACCATAATGTAAATAATCATATGTACCCAGTGGCAAATTGTGGAGTTTGTTGTATTGTATACAGGCCGACATGCTGGAAAGGCGGCGGGTTGGAAAAGCCGAGGCTCAATCCCCAACCCACTCCGAAGCCGAAGACATCCAACTAGTAAATGACGCTCGGTACACACCTCCCAAAATTATTTACGTGTGATATCTCATTTCAACCCTCTTTCCCTTCTCCCCGTTTATATCCAAGTCGTGAGGCATGTTGAACGTGTTTGCAAAGAGCCGTGTGTCGTCATCTGCGCTGAGAAGTGGTTTACAGTCTATGCGAACGTCTAGAGTAAGTCCAGAACACGTAGCTTGCAACGAGCTCGAGAATCCCGCAGAAGCTGACAATTTTTACAGATAATTACTCCAGCCATGACACGAAGCAACAGCTCTCTGCCAGCTGGTATGTCTTCCTCGCCGCTTGAAGCGTTGCCCGCCCCCATGGAGCACATGCTAACCCGCAGACAGGCTACAAAGAGGATAACTCGAAGGGTCCTATGCTCCGATTTGAGGAGTCTCTCCCCAAGCTCCCAGTGCCAACTCTAGAGGAGACGGCGGCGCGCTATGTGAAGTCCGTTCACCCGCTCGTGTCGGCGACCGAGTTCGAGCACACAAAGAAGGTCGTTGCCGATTTCATCCAGCCCGGCGGCATCGGCGAGAAGCTTCAGAAGAAGCTGATCGCCCGCCGCGAGGACCCCAAGACCGCCAACTGGATCTACGAGTGGTGGAACGACGCTGCATACCTCTCATACCGTGACCCCGTCGTGCCATACGTTAGCTACTTCTACTCACATCGCGATGATCGCAGGCGGCGCGACCCGTCCAAACGCGCTGCTGCCATCACCACCTCCGCTCTGGAGTTCAAGAAGCAGGTGGACTTGGGAACTCTCGAGCCGGAGTACATGAAGAAGCTTCCAATTTCCATGGACAGCTACAAGTGGATGTTCAACTGCAGCCGTGTCGCAGCCAAGCCGGCTGACTATCCCATCAAGTTCAACCACGAGGAGCACAAGTACATCGCTGTGGTCCGCAAGAACCAGTTCTACAAGGTCTTCACTGAGGCCGACGGCCAGCAGCTCAACACTGCTGAGCTCGAGGCTCAGTTCCGCCGCATCTACGAGATCGCCGAGACCGTCCCCGCCGTCGGTGCCCTCACCTCCGAGAACCGCGACATCTGGACCGACGCCCGCGAGGTCCTCCTCAAGGCCCACCCAGCCAACGCTAAGGCTCTGGAGGCCATTGAGGCCGCCTCTTTCGTCGTCTGCCTTGATGATGCCGCACCCGTCACCCTCGAGGAGCGCGCGCACCAGTACTGGCACGGTGATGGCAAGAACCGCTGGTTCGACAAACCCATCCAGTTCATCATAAACGACAACGGAACCTCCGGCTTCATGGGCGAGCACAGCATGATGGACGGCACCCCCACCCACCGCCTGAACGACTACGTCAACGACGTCATCTTCAACAACAAGCTCGACTTCTCCGCCACCAACGTGCGCTCCTCCCTCCCCGAGCCCGCCCCCGTCAAGTTCCACGTCACCAAGGAAGTCGCCTCCGAGATCCACCGCGCCGAGAAGGACTTCGCCGATGTCATCGGCCAGCACGAGCTCCGCGTCCAGGCCTACCAGGGCTACGGAAAGGGCCTGATCAAGAAGTTCAAGTGCTCCCCCGACGCATACGTGCAGATGATCATCCAGCTCGCGTACTTCAAGATGTTCGGCAAGAACCGCGGTACCTACGAGTCCGCCGCCACTCGCCGCTTCCAGCTCGGCCGCACCGAGACTACCCGTACTGTGTCTGACGACTCGGTCGCTTTCTGCAAGGCTATAAGCAATGCGGATAACGACTCCAAGACTACCGTTGAGCTTTTCCGCAAGGCTATCAACTCCCACCTCGAGTACATCGCTGCTGCGTCTGACGGGAAGGGTGTCGACCGCCACCTGTTCGGTCTTAAGAAGCTCTTGGCGCCCGGAGAGGAGCTGCCAGCTATCTACAAGGACCCAGCGTTCTCGTACTCTAGCAAATGGTTCATCTCCAGCTCGCAGCTGAGCTCCGAGTACTTCAACGGCTACGGATGGTCGCAGGTTGTTGATGACGGATGGGGAATCGCCTACATGATCAACGAGAACAGGTAGGCACATTCTATAATTCTAAATTTGAATCATACTGACTATATACAGCTTGCAATTCAACGTCGTTTCCAAGGGCCTTGGCAGCGAGAGGATGAGCTTCTACCTCAACGAGGCGGCTGGTGATATCCGCGACCTGATGCTCCCAACTCTCGAGGCGCCGAAGGCTAAGTTGTAGATGTGGACTGAAGGGTGCTGGGAGCAGCAAGGTGTAGACGAACGTAGATGCTGGTGGTGTGATGTATATCCTCACTGCGGGTTTTTTGTATATTATGGTGGAAAGCGTATGGGATGAGGGAATGGGACAAGCATTAGATAGCTTATACATAAACATCATCTATTCATTTGACTGCATAATAGCCAATCTCTTTAACTCTCAGGAAACTAGCGTGACTAGGCTAGTTGATAGTTGCAGAAACTAGTGGATATTAGACAGTTGAGCTATCCATCAACTACAGTTCCCACGCGATAAGTCATATAATAATTCCTCTAGATAATATCGAGATATACTGAATATCGAGTAATGAAACCATTACGTAAGCCAAACGTCATAATGTGCCCTAAATGCCCTCATTTGCCCTTTTGACCACTAATTCCCTTTCTATACGCTCTAAAGAACAGAGCGTAGCTGCCGGCTCCCTTATCAGCCACTATTCCTAGTTTCTATAAAGTCAATTAGAACTTAGAGGGCTTGTAGAACTGCCTACGTAGAATGAACCACTGGCAGTCTAAGCTCCTCCCTATCGTTATCATCTTGACCTTCATTAGGAGGCTAGATATATTGTTCAATGACCTCTCATAGTACTATATCCCCCTCACTATCTTGAATACCCTCTTGTATTGTCTCCTCCGCTAGGTTTAGAAAGTTTGAAAGGTCCATCGCATTGTGAATTCAGCTGTGCTGTTGCACTTGGTTGTAAAGGTCAGTAAGAGGCAGAATGTGCTCGAGAGGAAGTTGGATTAGGTTTTTGATAATTGTGCTTTTGCAGAAGCAGTTGTAGATAGTCGTATTTAAGACATCGTAATACCATGATCGGATGATCAGCGAAGGGCAAGGTGTAAGTTAATAGTTTTAAGAGGATCTTCATTGCTATCAAAGGTGTTTAGCATGAACACAGCCATTGTGGACGATAATGAGCTTTAAGGGAGGTAATAATGCCTTGATTAAGGGCCTAGAATCAACTTGTTGCATTTGCTAGTAGCTAGATAATTCGTATATTTAAGGGCAAAGGCGTGGTTTCGACAGCAGCAATATGTGCTAAAAAGTTGTCCATTGTTAGCAGAATCTGTCTATAAGAGCCTATATGTAAATAGAAAGCTCTTAGCCATTCTGCTATAATAAACTAATTCATCTAAGCCTTCTTGTTCCATCGCTAATAACCTCCCATTGCTTTAACATTAATATACTAGAGTGCTCAAGGTTTCTTTGCCTTTCTAATAAACTAAAGTGGCATCTAATCAGCTCCCATATAGTTTGTATAACAAACAACTGATTTCGCGCCTTGTCCTTCTTAAATCCTAGCTGTGATATTGTTAAAAGACCCTTTAAAGGAGTCAGCTTTTAAAAGAGCCTAGTTTTGTCTATGTTATAAATGTCCTCCTCTTGATATTCCCCTGCTATTGTCTATATCCCCTTTATTTCTTCCTCTGCTTATGTAGGAACTAAGCTTGCTTCGCTATGTTAAGTATAACTCTTAATCTTATGTCGTCTTTTAAAATTCAAAACCTAGCCTTAAGAGAATTGAGGCGTAGGCTAGTTGTGGTATTATAGAAGTTGCTCCTAAATCGTTTTAGCACGTAGTTGTAGTATATTGGTGCTTGTAACTCCTCCCTTGCTTTTAATAAGCTGCTGCCATTTAAAGAGGACTGCTTTAAGGTTAGGCTAGGCAACAGCTTTACGACGTTGAGTTGATTGCTAAATTGTGTTAAGAGGTATTGTATCGAGGTTGACGTATCGAGAGCTTAAAGATTTAGAGACTGTTAACTGTCAAATACAATAGCTAAAGGTTCTAAAGAACCAGTTAATAGAGTTGCGAAGGCTTTGGTGACTAGTGAGCATACTAGTTTCAGAGTGTGCGACACTACTCAACTGTCATTGTAAACAGCTGATTTCGAGGCATCTTGGCCTATGTAATGTCGGTATAAGACGATATCTAGCCAAATCAGTTTGATATCGAGTGTATCGTGGTTTTGGTGGGAAAATAAAGAATCCTACAAAAAATATCAAGTTGGCATGAATATCGCCTAATTGAGTATCGACTTATCGTGTGAGAACTGTATCTAGATTATCTAGCTATCCATCAACTATCTAGACTATCTATGAGGCACGATGCCACTATTTAAGTAGATAGTATTCCCTTAGATAGGAGCTTCGTGCTCAACTTAATATAGTATTCTTTACAATACTATAACGTGTTACTTAGAAAGCCTTTGTGTTTAATCCCCTACCTCCTCTGTTAAGTTAACCTTACATAAGAAACCTCTATGTCTTCTATCATTTAGAAGTCAGTGTTACAGTTTTGTACATTCGCTATACATGTACGTTATACAACCTATATTACTAATACTATTTAATACACTAATCATAACCTAAGCTTTTTTAGCAAGCCGGCTTAGTGCATTATTAATTAAGCTAGGAGAGTTATTCTAATGAATATGGTTCTTAACATGCTCTGTTTGAAAGTTAAGCTCTTTTATAGTTTAAGGAGTCTTTAAAGTATAATTGTCACTTTTAACTATTAGAGGAGTTAGAGTCCTTAAGTATAGATTTAAGTGAGAGAGAACATTCTATAGCTTATATAGAACTATGTCATACTGACATTCGTTGCACTCAGTTTGCTATCAAACTCAAGAGCAAACTTAGAAATCCCCTCCTCAAACCTACAAGTCACTATACATATTTTGGCTTATCACACCAACAACAAGAGCAATACTACTCAACGAATGCTACAACCCTCTATGATTCATTACACGTCATTACTCCTTAGTTACTGTGCTGATATTACCACACAGCATATCTCTACAACCCTCTATGATTCATTACATGACATCACTCCTTAGTTACTTGTAATGGTGGGTGCACCAGATATGAGAATCTAGCCACCCAAGGAAGGGATGAATTTACTAAGACAACACACTGTCTTAGGAAACAGAGCCAAAGGGTTGTAGCTTAGACTATTCCACAACGCAGCAATCAGGTGTATGATGTGGTGAAGTGGTTTAGACAAGTTGCAACAAATGTTGAGTCTGAGAACTCAGGGGTAAGTCAGAGGTTAGCACCTCACTGACTTTTCAAAAACAGAGAATAACAAGATCAATGCTTGGAAGCTTGGAAAAGACGTAGAAGTATGTGCTAGTCCATTTCTGTATTGCCTGCTTGCCCTTTCTTAAGGAAAGGGCAATCCTATTTATGCCAAAGGAGTGTAGTTCTCTCATTTTCCATGACTTTCCATGACTAACCAGGCTTGGTAAATGTATTAGAAATCAAGTGCGACCCACAACTAGCTTGCTAATCATGTAGTGAACGTAAGAGAATCCCATAGAACCATCTCTTGGGTTCCTAGCCTATAGGAAGTGAAAAGGAGGTCCAAGGTCAGAGTACCTATAGATAAATTATGTCATAACTTAACCAATCTTGTGGGTAACTAAGGAGCGATGACGTGTAATGAATCATAGAGGGTTGTAGAAGCTTCTAGAGCTATCGTTCATGTTCCTAGGCCTCTAGTTGGTAGATATATGCCATGTGGTAGTATTGGCCCACCCCCTTAAGGAGGAGATTTTCTTAATAACTTGTTCAATGAGTGTTCAAATGATATGCCGTGATGTATGTAGCATAAACAGATGTAGTAGAAGAGTTTGCAGCAATCGTTGAGTAGTATTGCTTCTGTTGTTGGTGTGATAAGCCAAGATATGTATGGTGACTTGTAGGTTTGAGGAGGAGATTTCTAAGTTTGCTCTTGAGTTTGATAGCAAACTGAGTGCAACGAATGTCAGTATGACATGATCCCCCTTTTAAGGACGTTTGTTGGCTGTCTGCTTGCCCTTTAGCCAGTTGGCTTTCTTAGAAAGAAATTCTAGAATGAGCTTAGATGCATTTTTTAGATTTCTCTTAGGCTCCCAAGTGTTGTCACTTGTAGGATAGCCTTTCCACTTAACGAGGAAGTAGTCCTGACCTCTAAGTGTCTTTTTGTCAAGGATAGACTCTACTTCATATTCTGGTTGATCCAAGATCAGAACAGGAGGTGGAGGAGACTGAAGTGGTCTTAAGGAACTTTCTTGTGCCTTAGACAAGAGAGATGCATGGAAGACATTATGGATAGTCCAAGTAGGTGGTAATGCAAGCTCGAAAGCATTCTTGCCAATAGTCCTTGTGATCTTAAAAGGTCCAAGTCTTTTAGTATCAAGTTTGTCTGAAGGTCTAGTAGTTGTGATATGTCTTCTAGACAAAAAGACTTGATCACCAACTTTGAATTGTGGTGCAACCACCCCCCTGTTAAAGGCCTGAGCCTGCTCGTCTTGTGCACGCTGTATTTGAACCTTGAGATAGTCCTGGAGGCCCTTAAGGTAGATGATTCTTTCAGTAGCAGAAGGGTTTTTGAAATTTTCAGGACAATTCAGTTCTGCCACTTCAAACCTAGGGTGATAACCATAGTTTGCATAGAAAGGTGTCTCTTTTGTGGTGTTAGAGACTGTGTTGTTGTAAGCAAATTCTGCAAGATGGAGAAGATCTGCCCAGTTGTCTTGAGCATAGTTTGTATAAATTCTTAGATATTGTTCAAGTACAGAGTTGACTCTCTCTGTCTGGCCATCTGTTTGAGGGTGATAAGCTGTAGAGAAGCGTTGTTCCATGTTTAAGAGTTTAGAGAACTCCTTAAAAAAGTTTGAAGTGAAAACTGCTCCCCTATCTGAGATCCAGTGTCCAGGAATTCCATGATATTTAAAGACCACCTTGAGGAATAGCCACACAAGTTCAGAAGCTGTGATAGTCTCATTGCAAGGCTCAAAGTGTGCCATTTTTGTGAGCCTTTCTACCACCACAAGGATAGAGTCATAAGGGGTAGCACCCCCTTTTGGGATAGAAGGAGGCAACTTGACTATAAAGTCAATGGATATGGAGTCCCATGGGCGTTCTGGTATAGGTAGAGGCTGCAAGAGGCCATAGGGCTTTTGCCGTGTAGGCTTGTTCAAGTTGCAAGTAGTGCAAGAAGATATATAGTCTTGAAGAGTAGTCCTTAGACTAGGCCAGTAGAACTTTCTTGTTAGAAGTTCATAAGTTTTTGCAAAGCCAAAGTGCCCTGCAGCTGGAGCATCATGGAACTGCTGTAGGAGGTGTAGCTGTAATCGTTTATCCCT